CGAACACTTGTTCCCTAGCCAGAGAAACATCTCCGTCTCGGTGTCTAAAATGTAACACTGCGTCATCTCCAGAAGACTCTTTGTCAGTCGATTCCTAGCATCAACCACTTTGTCCATTGTTACGGAGTCACCCATCACATCATACTTCACCCATAACAATGACACGCTCTGTGCGTACGACACTTCTACAACAGTATCTACAACACCATCATCGAGTTTGACTTCCCCTTGTTCACCAAGTGCCGTCCAGAATTGCTCAGTTTCTTTGCCTTCGTCCACAACAACTTGTTTGCTTCCAACACGCTCTTTGTCTTTAATCCGTTTGGCTACATCCATCGCTTTACCTTTTTCCATTCGATTGCATTTCTTCCCATTCCACTGGTATATCACTCCACTGTTCTTTCCCGGATCAAGCACAAACGCATCGCCAGAGTTCAATGACTTCAAACTACACTCAACTTGCTTCACATATGGACGGCGCTGCCCTTTCACTTGGAACAGCCGTTTCAAATTGATGGGATTGACCTCTTGCACCGACTCAGTCTCAACATTGTTCGCCTCGTTCTCAACTCGTCGCGCTACAAACTTCTCTCGCTGCTTGAAGATCTCATCAATGGTGACACCTTTCTTCTGGGCAGGCACACCAGCGACTGTCGGTGTTGTGTTTTCTTCCGTCTCGGTCTTAGCGTTAAGGCCTCTTTGCACTTCGGCCTGTGTTTTTGTTGCGGCAGTTCTTTTTTTCTGCATTGTTTTTCTATGAGCCATTTTGATGAGTTGATTGTCTTCGTTTTCGACTTCTTTATTACTTTTTGGTATTGGTTTTTCTATAGGAATTGCTATCTGCTTATTTGTTGTTTCTTTTAGTTTTGGTTGAGGCAATGGTTTGTTTGGTATTTCCTTTTTCATCTCGACTGGCGTCTTCTTTTCTTCCGAAATAGGAATGACTTGAGTTTCGACTTTCTTTGGTATTTCATTTGTTTTTGGTTCTTGTTTTGGTGCAGGTACTATATACGTTGTTCCTTTGTTTTCAGTGACAACACTTTTCTCTTTCTTTTCACATTCTTTTGGTGTTTCAACACGTTTTTCTGCTGGTTGTTTTTTAATTGGTTCAACTTCAACTGGTTTGTCGACTTTTTGTGGTTGTTCTTTTTTAATTTCTTCTTTAGGAGGTTTTGGCAGTGGTTTGTCTTTTCTTGTTATTTCTTGTCCACCCACTTCAGTCACAGTCAATTCGTTTTTGTATTGAGTGATTTCTGCTCTAGGGCTTGGCAGTTGTTTTAAAGTTTCAATGTCCTCTTTGTTTGTGAGTGTGTTGAGTGCAACACCATTTTGCACGTCCTCTGATTTTTTCTTCATATGCATTCCTTTGATATTTGCCGTCTTCGGAGATTCACTTCCCGTCCTCATTGGCGATGGACTTCGCTGTTTTCGTATTTGTGATGTTCGTATCCCAACAGGAGACGTGCTTCTCAGTGCCTCAACGATATCCGTTTCTATGAAATTCTCATCTTTCACTGCCAAGTCGTGGAAGTACTCTTTGAATATGACAAATTCATTTCCTTCTATGACATACACCAACTGTTCTTTTCTTCTTCCCGAACTTGAGAGAAGACTTTCTGCTTGGAGCATCGCAGAGTTCTTTTCGTTGTTATTTGAGTACTGACCAGCCCACACAAACACATCAACACCAGTGTCTATCAACACACTTCTTGATGATTGTAATATCTCAGACGTTAATACTTCATCTTTGACTTCATTGACATCGACTCCTTTCTCAAAGTCCTCAAAAGTGTATACCTTTAAACTGTTTATATACTGTGTGAACACTTCTTCGTCGTTGTATACCGTATCACTGAATTCATTGACTTTAAAAATCGACTTGAACACGTCTTTGGTGTTTTTCGTAGTACAATCAATCTCGTCAATTACACTGTTTTTCTCCTGTGCTAGTATTTCCCCAATGTTTCGTGCTTTCTCCTTCTTGAAATCGTTGCATTTTGCACCGAACCAGACAACGATCTTTTTCATGTCAAAGTATATATATGCGTCCGAGTGATTGACCATCTCAGAAGAGCACTGCACCATTCGACAATATGTGAAGTCCTCATTCTCCGATATTCGCAACAAAATCTCTTTCTTATAGATGTCGTCGGCATTAAACACTTTTGTCTTTGCGTTCTGTGACAGTGACATTTGGATCTGTATACTCTGTTTTCTTCTATCTGCTTTAGAAGCAACTTTCCTCGAAGGCGCCGAGAACGAAAACTTTGAGATCCTTTGAAACAGTTGTGGGATGGACGGCTCCGTCGAGTAAAATTTGTCATTAAATTGGTTATCCCCAATATCGCACATGACCAAGTTACTCAATTTAGTCAAGTCGATTGGGAGCTTTTGTAAGCAGTTCGATCTCAAATTGAGTTCCTTCAATTGGATCAGCTGTGAGATTTGTGGTGAGACCTTTTGCAAGTCGTTGTTGTCCAAATAGAGTTTGACAAGATTAGTGCACGTCATAGTGTAGTCGGGGAGTTCCTTCATTTCGTTCTCAGCCAAATTGAGAAGCGTCAAGTTCGTCAGTTTACCAATGTTCTTTGGTATCCGTGTGATTTTATTATTATTTAAGACCAGTCCCTTAAGTTGTGGCATTTCCTGTATAGTAGGTGGGATGTTAACTAATTTATTAAATCCCAAATTGAGATAAGTGAGTTGTTGGCACGATGCCAAAGTGTCTGGGATCGTTTCCAGGAGGTTATGTTCCATATTAAGATTAACAAGTGATGTTAAAAAGCAAATTAACGGCGACAAGACACTGATTTGGTTCGTTGCACTTTCCAAGCTTTGCAGTCGTGTTAAGTTAATGAATAGTAAGTCCGGGAGGTTTTGAATATCATTACAGTTCACATTCAATTTCGTCAAATTCAGTAGAGTAACCACATTATCCAATTGACTGATAGTATTCTTTGATAAGTCCAAGTATTCCAAATTCGGAAATCGACTTAACGAGGGGACTTCCGGCAACAGTTGCCCATTCAGACTTAAAGTAGTTTTAGTCGTGTCAACTACAGCAGGTGCTGTAGACTGTGTATCACCCATTGAGGTCTTCTTTTACAGTTCTCTTCTTATCACACGAATTTCAAGTACTTTTTACTCGAAATTTTTCATTCTTTTTCTTATTGCAATTCGTCAGTTTTAAACCATTTTTGGGGCTTTTTAGTTATCGTGTATTATCAACTAAATTTATATGGACGAAATTGAACCTTCGCTACTATTCTATTATTAATATATTTACTATAATTTTATAACTACGTGCACAAAAGGAAAAATAGTAAATATGTTCCTATAAAATATTAAATACATAGTATTTGCACTTGTACACTCTCCACCAGTGAAGGTCGACTTCTCACTCGCCGGAAGTGTTGCTTTTGACTTCTTTTTCCACCGAGTTGTCAAGGAGGGTGACTGCGCCAACCAGAAATGAGACGCCGGACGCCTTTGTGCAGTTTTTGACCACATAGTCCCTTACGAACTCAAACCCCCTCTTAAAGAATTTGTTTGGCAAAGTCCCGACAAGGAGTCCAATCAACTCAATAACGTCGCTTACAACACTTTTGTAATTACCTTCGTTCACTGTCGGAAGGCCAATCAACTCGTCGGAAACGTAGTCGATGATTTCATTTAACTCACCAGAGTTCAGTGTTTCGATTTCGGTGGTGTACCAATTCTCCGGCAACGCGCTCGTTTGTTGATTTCTCTGGAATGGTATTCTTGCCTTCATGCGTCTTTCTCTTTGTGAAAGTGTTGGTTTGTGTGTTTTTCGGTCTTTGCTTCCATCAGACGAACTCTCGGAGTCCTCAGACATCTTCGTGGAAGACTCACTTTCTTTCTCTTTTTCTGAAGTCGAGTCGTTGTCTTGACTCATCTCATTATCACTCTTCTCGGTATTCACTTGACTCGCATTAGTGTTTAAAATAAGTCCTTTCTCATTCGTATTATTCTCACTGAGAACCTCCTCGGTTTGTATGGGCACCGTCTCTCCATCTCCATACTTTTCTACACTCACTACAAACCACGCAAAGTCTTTTATGGCAGTTTGAATCGTTTCCCGAACTTCATCACTGAAGGGGGAAACTCCTTTGAGTTGTGAAAATGTTTTGTAATGTGTCGACGGCGTTAACCCTTTTTTGACAACCACAAACTCTTGTGCCACCTTTCTATCCGTTTTAATAAATTGGCGTAAAGTGGTGATTTGATTGATTAAGTCCTCTTCACAAGACAGACTGAGTTTATCTATCAAGTCGTCGACTTGGGAGGGAAGATTGAAGATGTACCACCGCTCACTTGCATTCCCAAACAAGAATCCATTCAACAAATAATAGACAACACCTTCTTTGTCGCTGCCAAGTACTCTTGTCCGATTATATATCGAATTGGGTGTTTTCTTCGATGACTGCCAACCCATTGGCGATTGTAAATATTCCTTAATAAGCGTGTTAAACATGTTAAATAGAGTGTTGTGTGGGATGTCAGCGATGTCATCGCAATTTAACAAGACTTCGTTCTCTGTGATGACAAAAAATATGAAAGGAATTGTAAATCGGTCGACCCTCAATATTTGCATGATTAAGTTCTGGTGGAGGTTTGTTGTGCCAGAGACAAAATGGGAATAAAAGAGTAACGTACACAGCTTTTGAGCTAAGGAGTTTTTGACTTGTGGATACCAGTAGATGTATATCATTATCGACTTGAATGAAGTGTCTAAATGTAACCGCTTTTTGTCTTCAGCTTTTCCTTCAACTTCCACCTCCGTGTCTTCTGAGTTTTCGTATATTTGTGGAATGTTTTCAAAGTCCAAAACGTCTCGTTGTTGATGAATAAAATTCCAAGTGAAAAGTATATCCCTGACACTCTCATTATCCAAGTCACCCAGTATTTGGTTTGGTTTGTGCGGCACATTGTCAAATGGCGTGGACTTCTCACTCTGAAAACTTCTCATCATGTTTTACAGTTTGAAAGAAATATTATGAGTTTGGTATCAACCCTTTTCAATTTGGATCCTTCACTTATATTTGCTCTACATTTTGTACTCTATTTACTATATTTAAATAACTTTCTACCATATCACTATAGCTTTATTTTTAAATTTTTGAGACATAACTTATAGCCGCACAGTCCTTTTGTGTTCGGGAATTACTCAAGTGATAGTCGCTGAATTAAATTATTATTAGTTTTATGTTTAATTCAGTCTTATGGAAAAAAAGTAAAACCATATCTATAGTAAAAATATACTATTATTTAGTATTTGTCAACCATTTTATTCCTCAAGTTGTGATGGGTGCTTTGTGCCAAAGAACTCGTGCAATAAACATTGTTCGGCATTAAACCGGGTTTCGGGGTCTATTACAAGCATGTTGTGTATCAAATCATTGAATTCCTCTGACATCTTATTTGTAAGAGACTCATCAACAAAGGTACCGTGAACGATGTTAGAAGGCAAGTCGTTCAAAGTGTCATCACCAAAGGGATATTCACCAGTGACTAACAAATAGAACACAACCCCAAGACTCCAGATGTCTACTTTCATTCCATCATATTCAGCGACTTCAGCTCGAAGTATCTCGGGCGCACAATACGCCAAACTCCCGACTTTTGTTTGCGCTTTCTGTGTAATGTCGACGACTCGACTCAACCCAAAGTCCGTCAACTTCACTGTTTGTATTGCATTCTTTTCACACAACAAAACGTTTTCAAGTTTGATGTCGCGATGACAGATCTTCTTTGCGTGGAGGTATTTCACTGCACTCAAAAGCTGTGATATGACTTCTCTTGCTTGGGACTCACTCACTTTCCCGACGCCATTATCACCAAACAAATACGAAAATAAGTCTCCACCAGTGACCAATTCCATCACAAAAAAGACTCGACTCTTCGTGTAAAGTACTTCGTGGCATTGCACTAAATTGGGGTGTTCGAGGGTCTCCAAAATTTGTTCTTCGCGTTTGAGGAAAGTGTTATTCTCCTCGGGGCGCGACACAATTTTCACTGCAAGGTGCGAAGAAGTTGAAACCTCCTCGACCTCACGAACAGTCGCGTAACTCCCCTTCCCCAAAAACTTCAAAGGTTTGTACTTGTCGAGAAACAGTCTGTCCAACTCACTGTCGGCAGTGCTTATAAAGCAATATGATAACGCATGCTTGTCCATCGGATGGAGTAAAGTGACTTCTGTGTATGGCAGCAACACAACCTCATCACCAGGTTCAACAACAGTGTGATCGATATATGTCCCAATTGTTGTTTCAGGCCGAATGATAACCACTGTGCTGTCACTCATTATCGTCTTTTTGATGTGAAAGTGTTGTCGGCTTATTCGTGGTTCATCATATTTAGTACCCAATGTGGTGCGGCCAAGAAGAGTGTCTGGTGATGTCAAAATTACATCTACTCCATTTGGGGTTGTGCTGATCAACTTTCCCCAAGGGTGTTGCGACATTGTTAATCTTTTTTAGTGCCAAAACACTTTTTCAAAAACATTCACAAGACTGAATATTATTGAGTCGGTTTAATTTATTAACTTTAATGTTCTTTCTCATTGCCACGGTTTCTAAACTGAAGATATCGACTCATCTGAGCATATATTTAAAACCCAAACGTATTAATTCAATTTTCATAAATGTAATGCACATTGACGGGACGTTATTATTTACTTGTCAATTATAAAAATCAAATCAGTTCCATTACAGTATTTATATTGAAATTATTGCAACAAATCATACCAACAGCTTTGTAGATATGCAGATTACTACGAGTGCATCTCATAAACGAATTTTTTTGTGTTCTGTTTATTCTCATGCTTTTAAAAACTATCTAATATGATTTTTTGGTGTTTTATATACTGAATTATATGAAGTATAATTTCATTGATCATACCGTGCAAATGTTACGAATCAAATAACCACTAAAACAATAGAAGATTAATAACCTTATTATTTACTTCAAAATTTATACGTTTTAAATATTCATGCCATGTTTCAAAAAGTGGACATCAGAATCTTTTATATTTTAATTTTTTTCAATATCATTTCCAAACTTTTTAAAAACAAAAACGATCATTTCAACTGCCAACTGATATATGAAAAGCATATAATTTTATCTCTCATTCACCCCTTTTTCTTTCCAAATAACGGGTCACTTCCGTCCAACAATAATTCTTAAGTTAAAATTTGTTTTATATTACAGACAAGTTTTTACGTGTCGAAAACAAACTTTAAAATAATCAGTGGGCTCTATCAAAATGGTTAACTGTCGCTTTATATTTCTCGTCATGATGCTCAACGCCGCCAATTTTGGTATTGAGTTTATGTGTTTGTCCTTTATTTTTAAAATTGGTATAATACATTAATAACGATTAATATTAATAACTATATGTTCAAGTCGTTGTTTTAACGGACAGACAGCATAGTGTTAAAGAACTTTGTGTTTAAATACGACTACACCGTCAAGACTGTGATAGAAGGTGTTCTAGGCCCACTGATAGGGATAATTGTGCAGATAATAGTTGGTTCGTGGAGTGATTACAACACAGAAATGAAGTGGGGGAAACGTCGTCCTTTTATGCTTGCGGGCAATTTCATAGTGTTTCTCGGGATCATCTTACAGACAGTGATGGCTGTGTGTTACGTTGTTACAGGAGACAGAACGGAAGAGACTTTAAGTTTCTCTGAGATCAGTCAGAAGTGGGAGTTTTGGGGGTATTTAGTGTCACTCATATGCTTCTTTGTAGGGATCAACACATTACAAGTCTCGTTAAGAACACTTGTACTTGATATCATTCCTATGGAACACCAATTTCAATGTGCAGTCATGTTCATTGCGTTATCGTCGCTTGCTCATTTAACGACAGACACCGTGTTTACTATCCCGGGGTTAAGCTATAGCTTAGATAACATCGAAAGTCTCAGTCAAGCGAATACGAAGTCTTTGGCGTGTATGTTCATCATCTCATTATTTCTTGTTCCTCTGACTACGACAGTCACTTTTTGCACGGCGACAGAGAGTTATGTGGAAAACAAGAAAATGAAGTTTGGGGAGTTTGTGAAGAAAGAAGTAAGAGCGGTCTTTGAAATCAACTGGAAGCGCATCTTCAACTGGTTGATCCTCTTTTGGGGGTATACCGCGTTTGAATGTTTTGAACAAGAAAGTCATTTACTCTATGAATACTTTGGCGTGAGTTACAGTTCGGAGATCATACAACTGAATCGAGTGACACCAAGCTTTGTGTACCAAATACAGCAAATAGTGACCGACATCTCTCAAATTGGGTATTGTGTCTTTATGTTCCCCAAACGGGATTATCACTGGTTCTTATTAGGAGTAACAACAGTCATCACTGGAATGGCGTCACTACTTCCTCTGACAATCATTTCAAATCTCTTTTATTCGGGAATCGAATACACACAATACACTGTTATCATCTTACTTATGATACTTATTATTATAGTGTTTATACCAGTGGGTATTACTGTTGCACAATTATCAACAATCCCTTTCGCATTATTAAAGGGTATAGTCCCATCGGCACATTTTGGATTGTTTGTGGGTATACTGAACATCGCAGTCCTATTCGCACAATTTTTGGTAAGGTGTGTTGTGGTCTACCCATTACACAAAGGAATGGGAAATGATATAGACAAAGCACATAACCAACTTATTTCAATTGCAGCACTCACGTTGATACTCTACATAATCGCGTCCATCTTTTCCTTCGCAATGAAGTTCGTGGCTTCCCCAAACCATAAGGTCGAACAGTCGACGGAAATTGAGATGGATGAGGAATAATGTTTTATTTAATAGCGTTTTATTGTGATTTGGTTATTTATAAATAATACACATTACGTGTATATTATTAAAATAAATCAAAAGTAGTTGTTTAACATTTAAAAATAGTTCAAATGCCATCACATCACTTAGTGTTATTTGAAACTGACTTTTTATGGGGCAATGTTTTGCTTTGATTTTTATCAATGATATAATACACCAACAACCAACTTGCTTTCTTTTTGCCTTTTCTTTCTCATTCAAAGCTACAAAATTCAATAAGAATAATGATATTGTTTCAACAATTCTTGTAAACTTTTTTATGTCAAGTTTATTGTTTCTTTTTTAATAAAAAGCCTTTGTTTTTTTATAAGAAAACATAAATTAAAAATATAATATATTTATAATATAATTCAATAGTATATAGTTTTAAATTTTTAATTTTTAATTTATTTCGTAAATAATAAACAATATTTTTTTTCATTTTTGTTTGGATTTTTTAATAATAATGATAGAATAAACATTAAAATATATAGTTGTTTGATAGTAATAATATAGCAATTTTACTATATATTTTACTGGTTTTCAATTTGTGTTTTATTTAGTTTTCAGTACAATTTTTAAATAATACTTACAAAAACACTTTGAAACTGAATATGTCAAAATAAGTTATAAATGTCAATTTAATCGAATAAAAAGTACTAAACCAGTTTTTCATGTACAACCTTTTCAACCCCAATTTTGATACTTAATAGTATATTTAACCATTATATATAGAAACAACTTGATTTTTATACAATAAAGCGACGATAATTAAAAATAATAGTTCCCAACAGTTCACGGTCTTTTTTATAACCACAAATTAAGACAGAAAAATCGACTCAAAAGGTGACTTCTATATATAAGAAGCAGTTTTGTCAATATACACGAATACGTCTATAAAACAGTTTAAGTAAACTCGAGACTCATTTCCAATGCAAGCAAGTCGTATTCCACACCAGATATATATCCGAAAAGAACGGGACAGAGGGGAGGGATGGAAGAGGTCAAGTCTCTCCAACAACGAGGACTTCCCCATATGTGTGACAGAGAAAAAGAATAAAGGGACGTTCTCTGTGACTTCCAGCCCACACCCGATCATCCCAGAAGCGACTTCTCCAATTCGCCCGGCCTCTCCGAGTCTTTCTGTCAATCCATTTGTCGCTGACCAATTTTATGGAAACTAAAAAGGAAGCCTATGGAAGAAACTATTTAAGCTTGTTATTTATATCATAAGTTATGTTGCTGTTGTTTGGTGTTTGTTTGATTCCAAGTGTTTTTTCTAATTTACTTGTAAACCCGAGGTTCGACGACGATCTAGACATGTGGAGAGTCAGTGGGACATGTAATGTCGATAAATCAAATTTTCAGTCTAATCCAAATTCGGTGCATTGCACCGATGACTCTGTTTCAAGTCGCACGGGGCTAAGACAAACCGTGAGTGGGATGGAAACTGGAGTCAATTATAAAGTGAGTGTGTCGCTTAAGATGAAGAATGTAAAGAGCAGTCGAGTTCTCTTGTTTTTAGAGAGTCTAGACTCTAAAGACTCTTATGGAATATATTCAGACACTATTCCAGAATGTGTTAATGGAAGTTGTTACGATAAATTCTATACATTAAGTGGTATAACAACTACTCCATTCACACAAAGCACGAATGTATTTGGCGTTTTGATTCATCCCAATGAAGGTCTTGGGGAAATCTGGATTGATGATGTTCTGCTGGAACCGACTGGTCGTGATATTGTATTAGGGTTCCAAGTCATGAGTTGGAGGCAAGAAGTCTTCACTGATGTCTTTGAAGTTCGCGTTGGGCTGGATGTGCAAAACAGTGTCTATCAGAATGGCAACTTCTTAAATTTGCAAATTGCAGTTGTACAGGACTTAACATACACGTTAAAAAATACATTAACCAAATTTGAAATGAAAAATGATGCATACAACACTTATGCATCGTTCCAAGTCGACCCAAAGGACTTGGAAATTGGATATTACACACTCAAACTCACGTGCGAAAACACAAAGTACCCCAACAAAGAGGTTAAAACAACAATGTTTCGAAAGACACCAACTCAAATCCACCACAACATACACGTCGACAACAATTTGATCACTTGGATGGACAACAAAAAGTTCTTTCCACTTGGACTGTACTTCGACCAAATTACTGACACCGACACTTCACTCTTTAAAGACAGTCCTTTCAACTTAATAGTGTCGCCAGGTGGGATGACTGCAGACCAAATTTCTGAGTTCAATAAACAGACGGACGGACGTGGGTTTGTGATTCGTCCATTCACCAAAGGTGTATGTTGTGGGTGTGGACAAAGTGACTTGGATGCGGCTTATTTGTGGCTGAAAGACAAGATCAACGAATTCAAAGATATCAAAGGCTTCTTCGGGTATTACCCAATAGACGAACCAAAGCTTGATTGTTACGAGGAGTTCTTAAATGCAACGCGAACGATCAGAGAAAACGACCCAGATCATGTGATATACACTGCCATCAATTTAAGCAAAGAAATATCGACTTTACATAATCTGGTCGATGTCTTTGGGCTTGATGTATACCCAGTCACTAATGGTGGATACATAGAAGACGTGTTTACTGTTTCGAATAGAGGAAGACGGGGTGTTGTTAATGGAAAGAGTATGTGGAACATCCCACAAATCTTTGACTGGACAAGATACAATGGAGGGACGTACCCTGTACCTACAGAACAACAAATGAGACAGATGACCTATCAGTTTATTGTTGGTGGTGCAATGGGAATCATTTATTACGACTTCACTGATTTGCATAAAATGGATTATAAAACCCCATTTGAGACACAGTGGAATTCAGTGAAAAGAATAGCAAAAGAGCTTAAGGAAGAGTACTCTGATATCATTTATTCCGAAGAAAAGCCCAGTGGTGTTTTTGGGTTTGAGAACGACGGAAATAATGTTGGGATGAGAGTATGGAGATATAAACATGTGGAGTACGCGTTAATTGTGAACAACAAAAATATCAAAAACTCATACTCGTTCAATTACAGTGGGGTGGGACATATAGAAAAGATGACGGGACAAGGCTTAATCAAACAAGATGGATATACAGTTGATGTCGAATTGCCAGAACTCGACGTGATATGGATTCGTGTTGCAGATTCTGTTACGGGTGTTGCAGTATTCATTGCGCTTATTTCATTGGCTTCTTTGGTCTAATCCATTATAAAATTGAATCTTTCGATTTTCATTATAAAACAGAGTCGTAAATATTTTATTTAAAAAATGTGTAATGTGATAATAACAATGCCTAAGATTTTATCAGACTCCACTTTACACGCTGGAATCAAATAACAATAAAACAATAAATAAAGAGGACGGACAATCTAAAGTTGATCCATTCTCATCCAAAGAGTGTGTAGTGGTTTAAATAGTTTTGTATCCCTTCATCCGGCAATTGTGGGTAAGTGTGTTGTCTCGCATTAAGAAGTGTTCCCAACACATTAGAGAATTTACTCATCTTTACCATATTCAATTTCCCATCTGGGTTCAGTGTATCCATGTCGTTAAGCCTGACCATGTCGCCCATTAATAACGCGATTATTGGGATCTTTGGTTCCACGTGTTCTTCAAAGCTTTTCCGATACGTCGCGCTGTTTCTCGCGATTGAGAAGAGCGTCTTCAAGTCGTTCCATTTTCCTTTAGTCTTCCTGCCGATTTCAGACCACCCCCCGACCTTCGACATTGAGTATTTAATCAACGAAGAGTAGATGAAAAACGCGATGTTGTAATCCCCAAGTGTAACGCATTCATACGAGACTTTGATGAAGAAAGAAAAGATCTTTCTTGATGGATTGGTGCTGATCTCATTCGACGTCATTCGCTCAATCACTTTCACAACGTCCAAGTAATTTTGGAGGGTCTTCAAGTGCGTCTTCGAGTAAAAGTCTGCAAATTTGACTTGTCTGAGTGCGTTCTGGTCGAACAGGACAAGTTGCATTGCAACCACCGGTGGTTTCAGTCCAAAGAAGTTGACTTCGTAATTTTCAGTCTTTCCAATTTGTGTCTCGATGTCTTCCATATTCTCTAAACGAACTCCTCGGCGCTTGTGTTGAACGATTTTGGCTAAACACAATTGAGAGGCCTTCTCAACACTGAACCTCTTTTTAATTAAGTGGACAAACAAAGGGTCGAAGAGCTCAACATTTTGGACGATTTTAGTGGTCATGACGTTGGAATAGCGTGGGACGTTCTCTCTAAAGATGTCTGTCCACGCCATCAGTAAGTCTTGGATCCGCTTTCGCCGCACTTCAAAACACGGCTCATTCTTGTTGCAATGCTTCTCAAAGTCTAAGACACATCTCATGATCATCTTAAACAACTCGTCGCCGTCAAGATAGACAGCACACTCTAAAACAAAGACATTGGGGTCTTGCAGAGGGATCTCAAAAAAATTGTTCCAATGGGATTCTTGAGTCTCAGAAAGTAAGACCCCTGTTTTTGTGTACGAGTCGTCACACGAATTTTCGTTGAAAATGAATTCCAAATTACAGAAGACGTAGTGCAAGAACTGCACTGTGGTATTGGGGTACTTCTCTCCCCTTTTAAAGAGGAATTCCGATAATACGCCGCGACTCAAATTGTGTGTGGAAAGGTGTTTGACAACACACTCGAATAACAGGCGGTGCGAACTCTCCATCGACCACACAAGAGTCCGCGCGTGCGATACACTCATCACGGAAAACCACGTAATACTTTGGAAGAAGTAAATTTGTTGTATTTCTAAGACTTCGATGAATTCGTTGAATTTGGTGTCTAAAGGAATTGTTAAAAAAGTTTCAAGTTGAATTGGTAAAACAGCGCCGATGAGTGTTAATGAGCCCTTTTTAGTGAAGGAGCCTCTGCGTTGCGATATAAATTTGACTTTCGACTTCTCTTCTTTGGGAAGGAAAGAAACACTGCTGCGAGTCGATTGCGATTTGGAAAGACTGGAAAACTCACCCGACTTGATTGTGGTTATGTGAATCATCTATTGTTTGTTCCAACACAGTTTGATGACTTTCGAACACAAAGTCTATTTTTACTTTCTTTTGTTTTTTTGAGAGTATTTTTAATTTATCAAATTCTTATTTTGGGGAATCGGCAATTTCTTTTCTAATTACTGCATTTTACTAAAAATTTTAATATACTTTTCTATTGATAATCTATTTTTTGGATGTCGAAACGCTTTTTTGAATAGTAAAACTACTCTGACCCAAATATGTGGGGACATTAATTCTTGGGGGTGCAAAAAACAATTTAAGTCAAACCTATAACAACTGTTTTGTTATTATAAAAACAAAGTTATTTTGTAACTATATAGAATTAATTACTTATTAATACTTTTAATTTTATTTGTGTTATTGGTAGTAATTGTTTCTTATCAATGCGTTGAAGGATTTAAAGTCGCCGAAAAATAGAGTGACAGTTTTGTAAATAGTTATATTTATAGGGTAACATTTCCGTATTTGTAATCATATAAAAAGATAAAATATATTTTTTTATTTATAATTATTTAATTTATTAACATTTTATTAATTAATAAATAAATTAATTAATTGTATAATATTTCTTTTATTGTTTTTTTTAAATAAGTTCATAAATATAACTCGATTTATTATAGTATATAATTAAATTAAATAAATAAAAACAATCAGAACTTCCATTTCTTACCTAGTGATTTTGTCAAATTTAATAATAAAACAAATAATGCTAACGTAATTATTAGAATAATCAAGAATTAATCTAAAACAACGGAAAATGACTCTAAAAAATCTCGATAAAAACTAATATTACAAGAAAGAATTAAACTATTTTTTTTAATTACACAAAACAATTTTTTCCCAAAAATGAATCACATGTAAAAAAATGACAAATTACAATTTTTAAAAATTGTTATAATTTTACCTTTTCACATTTTGGAATTATCAACAATTTTATAGTAAGTATAATTATTTAAAATAGTAAATAAATACAAATAATTTATTAATAATTTATTAATAATAAAGAGTAAAACGTTCTTTAAATTAGTAAGGCTTGATGCTCGTGTAAATGTAATAAAGCATCTCTGACAAGGTTTGTTAATCCAAGTATGTCAAAAACCCCTCCTATCTCTCTTATAGAATGCATAGCCAAGAGAGGGACACCACAATCGATGACATGGAAACCAGTAGATGATGCCATTTTTGGTGCAATAGTACTTCCTCCAAGGAGACCTTGTTTAGCAACTAACTTCTGTAACTTCACGTCGCTGATCTTAGCAATTTCAGAGACGATTTTGAAGTCGATTGAGTCGCACAAGAGTTTTTGATTAGCGTTTGTTTCGAAGACAATTCCACTGTTCATATAGACCAAATGCCTTTTCTCACTCGTCTCAATGTAATTTGGGTGTGAGGCATGATTGACATCATTACTTAATACAAACGTCTTGCTCTCTCCTACCATCACTTTTTGCTCGAAGTCGGGACTCATGTCAAAACACGAGCAGATCCTTCTCACCACCTTTTCAGTCATCACCGAATTAGCTCCTCTCCTATTGGTCGACCCAACCTCTTCATTATCAAAGAAAATCGCCATCAAGACGTTTGGCAAAGCTTTCAAAGACTCTTCAGAAGTCGCTTCTAAAAGTCCAAATAAGTCTGCGTAGACACTTGTGGTGTTATCTAAGCCTTGTCCCGTTATAAACTCCTTTGAAACGCCACTCAGGGATATGGGATCAATGTCATATAAATACAAGTCCATCCCAACTATCGTCCCATTGACTTGCGTTGAAAGCTTTTCCATCAAATCCTGCTCAGAAAGACCAATCGCCGGAAGTTCAGTCTCTTTGTCAATTACAAACCCTTTCCCGTACCGTTTGTCCAAGTGTGGCGCACACGTGCAGATCCTATATATGGGCTCTTCTATTTTCACTATCGCATTTTTAAGCGTCTCGCCGTCTTGTGTGATGACACGACCACACACCCCTAAATCTCTATCAAACCACGACGGCCAATTTCCTCCGCCATATAACTCGCACCGGACTAAATCTAATTCATTCGATTTATCAAACGGATTTGGTTTCAATTTCAAAGACGGAGAATCAGTGTGACTGCCGACTATAGAAAATCCATTGCCAACTTCCTTCTTATTAATTTATTATTAATTTATTAGTACAATATAGTTAATATATAGTATTACTAATAGTATAATAGTATAGTTATTATATAGTTACTATATAGTTATAAACAAACATAATTCCCACCAACAGCAAAAGCACAGACCGTAGTCAAGTCCTTGATGTAAAAGTACTTTCCACCCCTTTGAAGAGACCAAGGAGCTGATTCAGAAAGTTGGACAAAGCCATGTGACTGGAGAACACTTGAGACCCCGGCGCACACGTTGAAAGGTGATCCTCTGCACGAATTCAAGAAGTTCACAATTTCCATTTTGTTTCCAAGTTCCTTGATATTCAAGTTGGTATTTCTTTGTCATTACATAGTGTTATTTCATATAATTATTTAATAGTAATAGTAATAGTATTATTATTACAGTAACTCGATATAATAAAAATGGTCGTTCTAAAATGTACAACACTGAATAACACTTTCACCGTTCAATTCGACCAAAATGTGGTCATTGAAAGTGCCATTGACTCCATCAATAAAATAGACGCAAATGTCAACGCAATTTACTCGTGTAAAGAGTTGGACGGCACAGTTGCAGAACATCTCAAAGAAATGTATAATAGGGTTCTGTCCGAGAGTCTGAAAACTATTCAAAATGAACAAATCGACACCAACACAACGGAAATCATCGTCGAAGACTTAAAAAGGGTTTTTCAATTGATATTCGACAGAGTCCCTGAGAGCTTCACACACCATTTGGACCATTCTAAAAGGTACACTGACATCATCTTCTGCAAAAAGGCTCTGGACAAGACAAAATCCTTCTCACAACTTTTCGGAACAAATGAAAAGCAGACTCTTAAAGTCTATTTGCAGTGATACAATCGTTCTCTGTTGACTATTTCTTCTTATAAGTTTATACTATAAATATACTATAAATATACTAAAATATATATTAGATGAGACAAGACTCAAGAAGGTACTTTGATAGAGTCTTATTTTCAGAGTACTTCTCAACCGACATTTCAAAGAGTTTGGAGTACCTCTCGCAGTACCCATTCCACCACGCATTGTTTGTGTTATATTTTAGAAGTAAAGGAATTACTATCTGATAGAACCCATCGGTGTCCGACTGACTAATAGAGAGTATGATCTTACCGACATACTCACTGATAGTTGTGTACTCGATTGTATCAAGAAGGCGCTCCTTAGAGGAGATCAGACAAATCAAATGTCTTCCAATCTCATAACAAATCTCAGTGGTTATGTGGCAATGACTAAACACAGCAATTAATGTGTCAGTCAGACTCTTCTTGATCTCAGAGAGTCTATTATAAGGAGTAGATGGCTGACAGAAGTACCTTTCAAATACCACCTTCAAGTGCTTTTGAAGGTGTTTCTCAAAGATGTCTGCAAGTACACTCCCGTGCTCATTAAAGCATTTTGTGACCAAATCAAGTATCGTCAGAAGACCCCACGGCGCCTCTTCTAGTGACATCGAATATCCAATTGTCTTCATAACACGTACGACGTCCTTTTCTAACATAAATCCACTCACGCTTCTCAGCACTTCAATTCCAGAGACTCGAACCTCTGAATTGACATGTGTCAGACTGATTAATGCGTTCTCGACTATCTCAGAGACTTCACTGTATTTCTGCTTTTCTTTCTGCTTCTCCTCTTTCGGTCGTTTCTTCTGTAAAGAGTATTTTTCAACGTTCTGAGTATTAAACCCCATCATATGTACCATCGTGTTTATCACTTCATTGGTATTCCCCTTCTCCTCTGCGTGTCTGGCATAGATCTGACTCTGGTTGATCACATTTGTTAACAGTCTAAACACGTATGTTAAGGAGAAGTCTTCACTCTGCAGAAAAGGTACTATTTTAATAGCTTTTTGAACTATTGTTGTTACTAGAGGTTCTTCCATAACAACGACATTTTGAACGACACTATTTGACACACAAACTTCTATCCATCCAGCCCACTCGAAGAGAGAAAGTTTCTTAAGTAAGTCATGTGGAGAACATTTACTAAGTAAACACTTTGAAATTTCTTTGATTTCACTTTCAGAGGAACACTTCATGAAGATGTCGAGTGCAGTCTCTGGTGCGATTTCTTCGAATGAATTCACGACTATTTGAAGAGCAGAAATATCAAAGCAGTTTTGAATGACTTCGTTGAGGATTACCGACTTTGTTGTGTCGTCACTCTTCTTCGTCTTTTCAACAAGCAAATGTAGTGCGCTCGATTCGATTTGTTCTAATAAAAGACTCTTGTTTTTAGAATGAGTTCTCTGTGGATTCTTAGAGTCTTGTTGTATTCCATTGACCACAAAAATGACGTCTTCACTCTGTCTTATATAATTCACAACTTCTTCATTGACGCGCTTCTCTATCAATGCATTGAAAGTGTGTATTGGGTAATTTGCAGAATATATAATGACTTCCCACGCTGCGACCTTTTCAATTTGTGTTGCTATGATAGATTCTATTGAAGTGTTTGTGAGCGTTAATTGAATGATGGTGTTAATGAGATCAGTACACTCTTTCCTTGTGTCTGTCACGTTCCCTACGTCGCTTGAACTATTCTCTGTTGTGTCTTTTAAAGACATTTGATTCAGTAAATCACAGACTTGGCTGTCAAGTTGAGTGACAAATTGCTCGACAACAGTGTGAAGTGTAGTGTCAGTAAGACCTTCAGTGATGCCACACCGTACAGCTGTCTCTATTAATACGTTCTTGGGAGAGACAAGCCAACTGTCTATGTGTCGACTCACTTGTAACGCACTCTCTCCAATGGTATCAACTACACTTCGGAGTTCTAAATACCATCGGGTCACCACTTTTGTGAGCCGTTTCTCGACTTCCTCGTCGTGCTTCTCGATTATTGCAAAGGACAAACATGTCGACAACATCATTACACAACACTTTTGGTATTCAACCCGCCCGTTATCCCTTACACGTTGGACGTTTTTGACTATCCCAGGCACTATCAACCCAACAGTTTCTCTTTTCAACGCCCCAATGATCTTTTCTATTGACGCGCAGACGTCTTCAAACACTTTCACTCTCACACTTTCGAAGTGGTGAATGACTTCCAATAATTTCGAAGTAATAAATATCAAGTCGTTCTCAAAGGGTTTCAATACTTCCGTTGGGACTTCTTTTAGTATTTCCAGTGGTAACGTAATTTGGTCTTCCACTGAGACTCCCTCAAATTTTAAATTCTTTAATACACCTCCCACCTGTCTCAGTATACTATCCATCCTTTCTTTATTTAGTTTAATTCTTTAATAGTATTTTTATAGTAAAAAAGATTATTATTATAGTATATTATAGTATATTATAGTATATTATAGTATATTATAGTATATTATAGTATATTATAGTATATTATAGTATATTATAGTATATTATAGTATATTATAGTATATTATAGTATATTATAGTATATTATAGTATATTATAGTATATTATAGTATATTATAGTATATTATAGTATATTATAGTATATTATAGTATATTATAGTATATTATAGTATATTATAGTATATTATAGTATATTATAGTATATTATAGTATATTATAGTATATTATAGTATATTATAGTATATTATAGTATATTATAGTATATTATAGTATATTATAGTATATTATAGTATATTATAGTATATTATAGTATATTATAGTATAGAAAACAATTAAATTTATTGTTTACTTCACAAATAATTATTAATAGTAGTTTTATTATAATTGAATAATAATAATAATAAATTATAGTAAACAATTAAATACTCAAACTAGAGTAATAGCTTAAAAGATATTTATAACAACCAATGAATATACATATAACAACGCAGTTATAAGACTTAAAGCTCATCCTTCTGTTTGTCATCACATATGACATCAACAAATTCTGTTTCACAATACCTGCCAATAGTTTCTCCACATACAAGTCGGTATTGTTTCTTCTCCACTTCATTCTTATAGATGTACTTCCTCTCGAACTTGAAGAGATTAATACACTTTGCATTAAGAGGGACGATTTGGGTTGTATTCCAAACAACGACTTTCCCAATTCCAACAGTGAATAACGGTTGGTTGCTATTGCTCTCCACTTTTAACTCAGCCGCGCCTTTAATTGCAATTGCTGTGCAGTAGTCCGTGCTTTCCCCCTTCGAGCACTCCTTTGAGAGACGTTTCCCTGATACCACAAAAGTCGAATTGTTCCCCACCGTCATTTTACTATAACTGTTCACCTCAAATGAATCAGCAGAGATTCTGTTATTCTCGCCAAGAATGACTTCTGTACTGAATAAGATGAACATTGAGCTACTCTTGATTGTCACGTTGTTCCCAATTGAGATCATTGTATATGAATACGTCGAGAAGTATTGTCCGCAGCTCACTACACTGTTGTCTAAGACTTGGAGTGTCGCGTTTTGAAAGAGATACAAATTCTCAAGACTGAGCTGGTTCTCCTCTTCTAAGATCACAGAAGCCGTCGCGTAGACGTAGATGTTCTGACTCACACTCTGTCCCCTCTTCCCAAGAAGCACTTTTGCATTTTGAAAGACGTTCCAGAAGTATCCAGAGACAGTCACACTCACTTCATCTTCAGTACTTAACTTCGAGGCGTCGTACAACTGCAGTTGGTTACTTACAAAGACTCTCCCGGCCTTCCCAATCAAGCAGAACGCATTTTCATACATGTTAAAGTTCTTGTTGATATTCAAACTCGCCTCTTCGGCTGTTAGAAGCTGCCCATTCCCCTTCACGTGGATCTCGTCGACCGTGATTTTGACGTTCTTGTCCACTTCTACTATACTATTCTTCTCTATTGAAAGCGTCCCTGTTATTTCAGTCTCATCCAAAACACTAAACTTCCCGCCAGTTAGTGTTAAATTCATGAATTTGACATACGCAGAAGGTTCGATGACAAAATCGTTGATCAGCTCCAAGTCGGTGTTGATCTCCAAACTACTTCCCACCTTCACAACAACGTTTGGGGTGAAGACAACACCATCGTCTATATTCAACTTGACTTCTCCGTTGATTTGGACAGAGTCGAGGTGATCGACAAACTCCTGACACTCTTTAGAGAAGTGAAAGTCTGTGTTAATCTCGAGGATGTGACAGTTGTTCTTGTCGTAACCCTCCTGACAATTCGGAGAATTCGGGTAACAGACCGTGTCTCCAAAGACATAAGTGAGTACCAAAATGTAAAATAAGACGTGTGTAGAACACATGAGGTTATCTTTTCTAGTTTATTTAGTTTCTTTTTTATTGATTAGAACTATAAATAAATACTATATTTTAATAATTGATTGAATGAAATGGTATAGTTCATTTTTCAACTTAATTCAATGTATTAATACCAAATAGAACTATAATATTATAGTATTTAAGTTAATAATAAACTATAATGACACTTGCCATTGTTCGACTTCAAGTTAGAGTCTAACTATGTTCATTTCTCTTGTGTACTGCAATAAATTGCACAAGTGTTCTGTTGAAACAGACTCTCCACGAAACAATAAACAACTTTAATAAGAAGAAACTATCTCTAATTAAAATCTAGCAAGGACGATACCTATGTTGTCGGGGATCTGGGTAGATACACAACTGACATAAGCCGTGTCCTTGAGTAACCCGACCAACTCACTTGTTCTGAAGACTCTTCTGTTGGAGTGGAGAATGTTGTGTATCTTTTGGTTAGACACTTCGTCCCAAACGCCATCAGTAGCGACTACCAAGTACTCTTCATCCGCCTTTCTATCTATTACTGTGATATCCGGGATATGTGTGAGGATGGGTTTACTCTTCACATCCCCCACAGAACGTGCCACGAGTAGCCCACAGACTCTCATCGAGTTATCTACGAACCCGCCTTCACTTCGGATTCTGATTTGTTCCTTTCTATCACTTGTTTTGTGTTCTGGCGCCAATTGAATGATCCCTCCGGACGTGATATACACTGCGCGACAGTCTCCGCATTGTGCGGTGTATATTTGCGTCGGTGTCATGAAGACTACCGTAGCCACCGCTCCATCCACAGCCTTCGAATCGCCCGCAAACTCATTTTGCAGTGCGTCGAACGACTGGTAGAGAGCCTCTTTGATCCCAAGCGACCCTCCGTCTCGCGACAACATGTCATAGAAGATCTGTGGGAATCGATTTGAGAACATATATGGCACATAACACCCATTATGTCCGTCTATCGCGACTAATAAGAAGTGCTCCGGAGCCGCAAAATGAGGAATACAGATGAACGCGTCTTGCATCTCATCTCTGTCCGCACACATCTGCGCCCCAGCACATGTGATTGGGACCGACCCGAACTTAAGTCCGTTATTGAACCGGGGCAAGAACGGAAAGCGATGAAGCGCCGTGTTGCCGTCGTATCGCACAACAGTGGTGTCTGAGTGCTTTGGGACTTCAGTTAAGTCGTTGAAGGAGACGTCGAGCATGTGGATCTTTTTGAATTGCGACGCGTCAAAACACTTCTGGAGGGAGTTGTAAGAGATGTCGACGTAGACAAGTGCGGTGCACCCCGTTAGGGTCGGAGGCTCCGAGATGTAATTGTTACTCAAATTCAGTTGCTCGAGCTTGATCAAGTTGATCACCGACTTCCCGGAGGTGATGAAGCAATTTGACGCGTCGAAGGTCTGTAAGTTCATCAACGTCGACAACATCGGCAACTCCTCAAAGTGGTTGGACGAGATGTACAGCTTCGCTAAAGTCGAGAGAGTCAGAAGAACACTTGGAAACGTCGTAAATTTGTTGTCGGAAGCGTGCAGTTTAGTTAAACTTATTAATTGACTGAATTCAAGTGGTAAAGTCGCAATGTTGTTCCCGGTGATATGAAGCGATTTCAAGTTTGAGAGCGTCCCTATTTGGGTCGGCAAAGTGACGATTTTGTTGAAGGAAATGTCTAAATGGGTCAGCGTTAAAACCTTCAAGAAGTCGATATCGATGTGATTTAACTTGTTAAAGCCGACATTGAAATGTTGGAGTCGCGCCATCTCCATTTTCATGGGCAAAGTCTGCAACTCGTTATTTGACATATCCAAAATCGCAATTTTCTGGTTGTTGAAAATGGTTTGGTCGATCGCAGTGATGCAGTTGTGTCGAGCAAAGACCTTTTGTACTGTGCAATTTGGTGTGAGTGTTAACGTTGATATCAAGTTATATGAGACGTTTAACGTGACCAAATTAGTGGATGTTGCTGTGAGTACTTTAAATCTGTTATTTGATATGTCCAACGTGTCCAAATTCTTCAGTGGGGTATAGTCGTCGAACAGGATATCAGCGTTAACTTTACTATATACCAACTCCTTTAGTTCTGCTATTGGTTCAAATAAGAAGTTCTTCGTAGCGGTGACGTTAAGTTTCTTTATTCTCATTGTGTTGAAATTAGGAGGTACTCCACTGATCGGGTTATTTTCTAATTGAAGTTGTGTGAGTGCTGTTAATAAAGAGAAGTTCAGAGGAAGTTGAGTAATTTCATTGTTCTTTAAGTCCAAGTTTCGAAGCGACGATAATAAAGTGATTTGGTCTGGAAGTCCTTGGATGTTATTATAAGAGGCATTGATTTGTCTTAGCTTGGGACACTCGAGAACTGGGAATTCTTTTAAGTCGTTCTGTGACAAATCGAGAAAGGTCAGATTGGTTGCTCCCAGTGTAATAGTAGTAAAGAAGTTAGCTGAGAGATCAAGTCTTTTGATAGGGAGGGTGAGTCCAAACGTATGTAATTTGTTCGCACACACATCAAGGGAAGTGAGTTTGACGAGACTTTCAATCGACTTTGGCAGGGACTCCAATTTGTTTTGATTGAAACAAACGCTTTCTAAGTCGGTTAAAATAAACAAATAGTCGTTCAATGTTTTCAACTGGTTATTAGAAAACGAAACTTTTTTCATAGTAGAGAACAGTTGAATAGTTTCCGGTATTTCCTCAAAATCGTTGTTACTAAAATTCAGTTCCCCTACGTTTATGTAAATGCTCTGTGTCTTGCAAAGTTCATCGGGTATGTGTTTCAGACGTAAATCAGTTTGTTTTACTATCGCCATTGAAAGTTATAATATTAAGTTCCTTTTCAAGTTCACTCCATGTTTTGCTGTTCTTTTTTTGAAAAATTATTTTTTCAAAAAAATCGATTTCGGTGTTTTAGCAAGTGGGTGCTTTTGATTTTCTTTAAAGTCCTGTTAAACTTTTTTTTTGTGTGTTTTTACTGATAAAATGTTTTTTTTAATATTTTTATTTTTTCATTTTTTCAAATATTTTAATTATTAAAAATTTTAATAATTTTGTTATAATTATTTTATTTTTTTTTTCAATAAATAAAGTTTGTTTTTAACACAAAAAAATGGTATTTCTTGAACAATAAAAAAATAAAGATTTTTACCATTGAAAAAACGATTTATTGTTCAAAAAAATGACTTATTATTTCTTATTCACTCCTCCTTAAATATTCCAAATAATTTGCCTAAGATTTGTTTTATTCAATTATTTTTAATTCAAAAAACTAAAAATGAAAACTGAGATGATTACAAATATCAGAGTTAATTTGTAATTAAAAAAATGGTATTTTTTATTAAAATATTAATAACAAAAAAATAGAATATATTTCTTTTATTAAATAGTATATCAAATTCTATAAAATACCATATTACAACCATTCGCAAAGAACTAGAAGTATTAATAACGATACTAACACCAATCGATCGAAGTTATTTTACAGCGAGCTTATTAAATTGTTGATAAATGATATCTGAGTGAAACACGACTTCAGCTGGGATTTTTTTATGGAGTTTTTGTAAGAAGTCTACCATTCCATCAAAAGCTCTTTGTTGCGAGACAATTTGGTCTGCGTGTTCCAAAATGATAGAACTAGCGACAAAGTAGTATAAATTTCTTTCTGGATATGCAAAGATCCTATCCCACACTTGTAAACAGAGTTTAGTCTCGAAATCGCGTTTAAAGAGTAACACGATCCACCTAAAGCAGAATGAGTAGTCTACTCCGCAGCGTTTAAAATAGTCGAAGAGAGCTGGATTAATGAATCCGATGATCTTCCCGACTTCATCGAAGTTCGACTTCTTAGGGGATTGGTGGACGTAGAACTTCTCCATGATGTCCATCACCAATTTTAAGAGCCAAAAGATCTCGGACTCTTCTAGAGTAACTTCCATGATTAGACTACACAAGTCATTCAACCCTTGTCCATACAAGACTCTGTTATTATATAACGCGTACGTCCGTAATACATTCCTCAACTTCTCAACATTCTCCGCCTTTAGAAATTTGGGGTGTGTATTGTCCGTCCGTGCTACGTCTTTATCTATTTGGTCCAACGTCCTCTTCATCTCGTCCCAATTCTTTAATTGCTCTTCCGTGAAATTCTGCCACTGCGACCGGATCCGGTAATACATCAGATTCCGCTTCTGGTCAACTTCGTCCCGCTCACGCTCAGTCATAGAAAAGGTATAATAGTTCAAAACTAACTTCCAGATGAAGACTCGACTCTCATCTTTGATCCCACTCACATACACACTCTTCCGAATATCCTCTTCAGACTCTTTGGAATAACTCCCGTCTTTGTTGGCATATGACTTCACGGTCTCTGTGTCTAATGAAGTGATCTCGGAAATGTCCATATCGGAACGGGCTAAAGACTGATCCATGCGACCAAAGCGTTTGTGGACTAAGTACACATTCGGATTGTTATCTTTACTAGACTGTTACTATACTCAATAGTAAAAGATGGAATAGTATATATAATAATATATTTATAATATTATATTAAATCTCTAGAATATCTCTAGAATATATTTACTAGAATAGTTTAGTAAATAGAACCATTAAAAAAATAATAAGAAACCACAAACGGGACGACAGTAAAGCCATTTTCTATAATCGTATTTAACAAATTTGATGCGCCAAGATCGGCGTGAATGGGAAAAAAGAACGAAGGGAGTCTGTGAGTTTCGGTTTGGAATAAGAGTGTTTCATAATTTTTCACGGGGGTGTAAATTGAGATGGTGTTCACTTCGTTGATGTCAAAGGAGATTTTGAAAATTTGTTTGTGTTTTGACTTTCCGTCGAGTGACGACTTCGATTGAAAACAAAACGAAAGAACATCTTTCTCAAGACAGACAAAAAACGTTCCATTAATAAAAGCTTTTTCTTCGTTTTGGACACAAACCGATCCAATCTCCAAAATCTCTTTCTTAGTTGTTCGGGGCGATGTTGGGTCTTTAGAAGATTTCTTCATCAAAACGAAAGTATTGTCTTTTCAGTTCAACATCTTGTCATTAGATTACTTCTTCTTTTTTCTTGACAATTTTGTTTGATTTCTTTTATAAAATTTAATTAAAATTGTGTTAATTAATTCACTTCATAATCACTAAACATTCTTTTTTTTTACGTTCACTTTTTGCACGTTTTTTTGAAGCTTCATTTTAACGAGCTATTTTTTATAACTTTATTGAAAATTTTGATTTTTGAAGAAAAAACAAAAATATAAAATTCGTTCGTTATACAACCACAAGTTCTTTATAAAAAACACAATTAATTAACAATTAACGTTCTTGGTTTAATTTGATCTGTTTTTAAAGGATTTATATTTATTTTTTAATGTTTTTTCTTTTTATAGATGTGTATAATTATGAACTTAATAAACTTTAAAAACGGGAAATATATCTAATAAAATTGTAATTTCCTGTTTCTTAGACCGCTATAATTTTGTTCAATGTTATTGATATTGTGTTGATATTACCATGAAAGATTTTATATTTTTGGTTTAATAAAATATAATAAAATATAATAAAATAATACCATTAAAAACTATACGAAAACAATAACGCAGTACACCGACAGACGGCCACTTTAGAGAGGGTGGAAATTAAAGAAGTTCAAAGGAAAAGCGACCTGATACCCCTTAACGGACTGTTCACCCGCTATTAAAGGTAAAAACTTCCGATTGACCCAGAAGAAAGGGGTTTTGTCCTTGACGGTGAACTTTTCGGCGTTCTCCTTAAATATAGTGACATTGAGTTCAGTCTTATTTCGTGAGAGAAACATCTTTCTCTCGGACTCCATGTCCTTCATACACACGAAAGTCTCTTCGCCATATTTTCCTTGACGGAGGACGACATTGGCTTGTGTACTGATAGGAGACAAGAAAAGGCCAAAAGCACTTCTGTTACTGGGCAACGACGAGATCAAGAAGAAGAAGCTACTTCCTCCTATTTCGACAGACGGGTACGTTGTCGAGAAGTCGATCTTCAAGATGTCGTCGCCAAAGAGCACATCGTCCCGAAAACTGCAGACAAACTTCCCTTCGGGTCTCACTACTACCAACAACTTCGTTTCAAAGTCGTATTCAAAGATGTCCGCCTTCGACTTTTCAGACGCAACTATCAAAGGTCCGTGTTTACAGCGATAGAAGTACGTCCCACCTGATTTCAAGTAGAACCCCAACGGGGGGTCATCAACTCGTTCAACTTCAAAGACACTTCGTGTCTTATTCTGACTCGAATCCGTCATGAGTACACCATCTTGTTTCTTCATAAACACGGTGTTCTCTTCGGCGTCTAAAGTGATATAGAATTTGTTCGATGTCATCAATGTGTTTTGCAATGTTCTTCGTTTCTAAGTTCTTATGTCTTTTATGGTATTTTATTAATATAAAAATTCTAATAAGATTAGTTATAAAAATAGTAATGGTTATTAATAAAGTAACTATTAATGGGACATTCCAATAATGGACTATTAATAGTTAATTATATAGTTTTAATATAATAAAAATATACTTAACAGTTACACTAATTGATAGTATTTTTTATTAAAAAATTTCATGTAAAGTGAATATTAAAAATAAACCAATTATAATAGTAAATTGTATTTATTAGTATTATTAGTTTCAGACTTAGTATTCAAAACTATTCATTTGAAGTTGACTAGTTAATCAGCCTATGTGCTCTATACAGTGTTCTTTGTGTTTGTCTTGCTTGGTGAACAGAGATATGGGACACCAAAAGTACATTTCTGTTCAACCTTTTTGCCTTTGCGTTGTCAAAGAAGAAGAGGTTACATTCTTGAGTAACTTCAGAATGGAATTGCACAACTTCTCAAGCCATTGTTTTTCATCTGCCCACTTCGTCCAACACATCTCTTGTACTTTCTGAATGGAACACATTCCTATCGCATTGACTCGTTGTTGAGATATGCCTATGCATGAAACTCTTTGAGACTTCCAATATCGTCTTTTTTGTGGTATTACTTGATTTATTTCATATCCTTTATAAAACAAATTTTATATATTATAGTATATTCATTTATATAATATACTATATTTTTTTTGGAAAGGATGTTTCAAAAAGCATAAAATGTTCAATTTTCAGTGTTATTTATTTGTAAACGAATTTAAGAAAAATAATTATAAGAAAAATTAAAACAATATTTTTTACTATTTTTTACTATTTTTTACTATTTTTTACTATTTTTTACTATTTTTTACAATAAGAAATGAACTAAAAAGTGTGAGGAATAAATAACCATTGATGGGGCAAGAGGTGTCACATCCTCGTCGTGTGAATTATATACCAGAAAGTGTTATAACAGAACTTCGAAAAAGTCGCCCCAAGCGAATAGAAGATTTTAAACCACTTAATTCTGAACTTCTGTTGGCACCGTCATACTTCGAACACTTTTTAGAGCGAAAGGATATGGTCACGACGAGACAAGACGCGCTCATCAAGAAAATCGAAAAGGTCGAGAGAAAGACAAAAATGTGTTATGCACTCGCCAATGAGGCTCCTTCAAAAATTAAACCAATGAACATCATCCCACTCAAAGTAAACGACGCGTTGGGCTTACTCGATGCTCTCCAACTCAAAATCAATCAACTTGAAAAATCATCAAACATGTTGAAGGACTGTTTGATGTTTTATAAGAAGAGTTTCTCGCAGTGAGAAAAGTTCTTTTCATGCTGGGCGAAGTCTCGTGGAATGATGTCGTGTCAAGATGCTCTATATTTGTGATGTGAAATGAAAATAGTTATTATTAATATATTTTACTATTCGTTTATAGTTCAACTTTCTCCGTCATGCCGTGACGGGTTTTTTGATTGTTGAATCATTTTTTATAAAACCAAAAACTCAAATCTATTTGAAGACTTTTTGTTTTATTTGAAGTTTATTGAATGAAATTTTTTATTTTTTTTGTTCTTTTTTTTCTTAACACTCCTGGAACTATACTAATATGGAAAAATAAACCATATTAATAGTACATTCAATTTTTCTTTAAATTACTTGAATTATACAAATATAATAAATTTAAACTATAATTATAGTACAATCTTTTGTTTTCTCAATGAAGACAAAAAGACTGAAAAAAGAAAAGAGGCGATGAACGACGATAAAACGTCAGCAGCGATGTATAAGAAGACTTTTTGTGGGTATGCGTTAGAAAAGGCTTTTGACCAGTTCCAAACAAATGAAACGTCAGCATCCCTCTCGTCTGATCTCAAGGAAGCGTTCTTTCAAGAATTTTACAGGGTTTGTCGAATAACATTTTGAATAACATTTTATTGACAGAGAGGCTATGATGGAAACATTCCAACACGTGCAGACGACGACACACATGAAAGGTGCCGGGTCATACCGCTCGATTGACGGGAATATGTGGGAATTTCTGATTAAAAAGCCCGAGATCAAAACGGACAGTGATAATCTGCAACCCGAACTTTTGCAGATTTACTCTGCAATTCACCCCGACTCAAAAAAGAAGAAGAAAGGAAAAAAGTGAATTTTTGTGAGTTTTTGTTAGTTGTCGAATTAATGCTTATTAACGAGTTATTTTTCTTTTTCAATTGATAAATTAGCGAGTTTTTTTATTTTTTTTTTGAGTATATTATTTCATTCAATTAACGAGTTTTTTGAATTAAAAAAGTTGTTAATAAAATAATATGTTAAATAAAAAGTACTCGTTAATAAAGTCCTTTGTTAAAAAATGAAAAAAGGAATTGTCTTGAATGGACGAATATTGTTGGGTTTTGTCATAAGTGGAAGAGACACAAGCTCACATAATAATCGTTGTGTTATTGCAATAATACGCAAAGAAGACAAAAAGAGGAGCTTTGTCTTCTTCAATTTACAACGAATAGTAGAATTATAGTAAAAATATAGAATACTAAATTGGTTAATAGTCCACAGTTTGGAAGTCTAAAAGGTTATAATGAATGATGAACTGCTTTAATCAATGACTAAAAAGAACAACAACGAAAGGATGGAGCTCACGATAAAAATGTTAATGCTGGGGGAGAGTGGAGTTGGGAAAACGTCTCTACTTCTAAGGTTTACAGAGAATAAGTTCTTTAAAGATATTACTTCAACTATTGGGATAGATTTTAGAATGAAAAGAATGGAATTTGAAGGGATGATGTATAGACTTCAATTGTGTTTGTTCTTTGGCTTTAAGTTGTACACTTTGAATATTATTATACGTGTTATAATACTCTCATTAGATATTATATGTAACAGACTGAGTCAAATGTAACGAAAAGAAGTTGACACGAAGGGGACACTGCAGGACAAGAAAGGTTTAGAACGATTGTCACAAGCTATTACAGGTTTGTTTTCAACACAGGTATAATTGTTTTATTTATAAAATGACAATTATATAAAAACTTAGAAGAGGTTATAATGTTTAAACATATTAATATTAATATTAATATATATAAATATAATATTATATTTTTAACAAGTTATTGTATTAAGAGTTGTTTATTAAAGACTAGAGGTGTAAGTGGTATCATTCTTGTATATGATGTGACGTCCAAAGAATCATTTGAAAACATCAAGTACTGGTCAGACAACGTCAACAAAAATGCAGAAGAGTATGTCGAACTCATGTTGATTGGAAATAAAACAGATTTGGAGCAGAACAGAGTCGTCTCTTCTGAACAAGGTCAAATGTTAGCAGACACACTAGGAATTCCTTTTTTGGAAACAAATGCTATATCCTATGAAAAAACAGTCTCTGTGTTTCGGTCTTTATTGGGTAGAGTTATAAATAGAAAAAGTGGTCAGTGTTTGGACAAGTCTAATCATATTAATGTGAATGACCAAGTAAAAAAGACGTTAACGTGTTGTTAATAGTGAAGAATTAATTATTTAAAATGTTGTGTTGAACTTCATGAACTATATTTAATGGTATTTATGCTATAATAATATAACATATAGTCGAACTTGTTGGTAACTATAATATAGAACTGTTTTTCAATTGAAAATACCTCTTTGGGAATTTTAAACGTTTTTTAATTTCAAACATAATGGTCTGTAATTTTTTGGAATAGCCAATATATGATATTGTGTTTTTTTCAATAGAATACATCAGATAATTTAATGTGATGATCAATAAAAGCTTTATTTCATTGCTTGAACCAAATAATCACCTGCAATAATTCTTTCTTTTAAAACCATTTAAACCGTGTTGAATAAACAATAATTTGAAAATCACTCCACTATGAATGTTAGGCAAATAAAACCTTTGTTTTTAGGGAGTATTCCTATTACCATACATGCCCGGTTATTTAAATGATACTTATGTAAACAATAATAGGCTCCATACCTTATTTTTCAAAAAACACCACCACTAACAACAAAAAGAGAAATACAACTCGGCAAAATTATGATAGTGTTACGATTAAAAATAGAAACGCATAAGACCCCAATTTCTATGAACAAATAACAAACAAATTGATTGCAAATAAAACGAGTAAAAAAGACGCTGAAATGCCGAGGAGAGCAATACCTGAATACTTCCAAAAAAATGGAAACTGAAAAGAATATGTTGTTCTTGTTTCTCCTGAAAGCTTTTTGCGTTGTCTACGCCACCTGCGCCGAAAGCTCAAATTGCAAGACCTGTCACTCCAATGGCAAGTGCATTGCATGCAAAGATGGATTTTATTATCCATCAGTTGATGGGTTCTGTGTTCTCAGAAATTCCATCATTCATTGTAAGAACTATGACCAATTGAAATGTACTGAGTGTGAAATTGGGTACTATTTAGACTCCCAAGAGTGCAAAACGTGCACTTCCAATTGTGACTATTGTACCGAAACTCGATGTATTCAGTGTGCAGCGGAATACACTCTCATCGATTCTAGAACGTGTAAAAAATGTGATGTGGAGTCCACAAATGCGGGACTGAATTACACTGCATGTGGTCGATGTGACACTTCTCACTATTTTGATGTCACTAGTAAGCAGTGTAATGCTTGCGTAGAGAATTGTCTTCATTGCACCACCTCAGACAACTGCCTGCAATGCAAACAAGGGTTTTATAATACCAACAATTCATGTGTTGCACTGGAACACTGCGACTATTCCTATGGCGAACATTGCGAGGTGTGTGCTTCACGTTACTATTTAGAACAAGGTCGCTGTTATGAATGTAGTGACCACTGTCTCAATTGTATGGACTCGACGAGATGTGTGTTGTGTGACATTGAATACACTTTGTTCAATGGGAACTGCGTCGATACAATAGCAAATTGTAAGTCACAGAATCCAGTGCAGGGGTGTGTCGAGTGTGTGGACACATATTACTTAACACTGAATTCGACTTGTTCACAATGTCCGAGTGAGTGTCACACATGTAGTAACGCAACTAATTGTTTGACGTGTGCGGAAGACTATTACCGCGACGAGAGGAATATTTGTGTACAGAAAGATGACAATTGCCTTGTGGCTGACCAACTTGGATGTGTCGTGTGTGACACACTCTATTACCTCGAAACAACTAACTTCAATGGGAAGCTGAATACCTCGAAGACTTGTAAGAAGTGCGACGAAAATTGTCTGGCGTGTCATTATAACTCGAGTTGGTGCACTGGGTGCACTGATAACAATTTGATATATGAGAACACAGAAGCTACACAAATGTACTCTGATTTAACTAGTCTCAGTAAGACGATCTATGGGTGTAAAGAATGGACAATAGAATCTCATTGTACTAAACTTACCTCTGGATTTTGTACAACGTGTGATTCGTCGACCTTTTTGAAGGGAATTGAGTGCATTCAATGTCATGAAAGTTGTGCGTCTTGTACCTCTTCGTCCTTCTGTGAGTCGTGTAAAAACACAGAAACAGAGCATTATTGGCGACCGCCCTCGCAGAGTAATTTGAATGAAGATTTAAAAGGGTTTTGCCACTTAGTCGATCTTACTAATTTGGACTGGAACTTTAGTGAGTGTTCCACTAAAATAACTACAAGTGGGTGTAACTCCTGTCATGAAGGGTATTACAGTCAAGATGGCGTTTGTTCGATCTGTCCGTCTCGGTGTTTTGGGTGTAAAGTTAATGAAGATTTAGACCTTCAAAGTACCACTGACACGTCATCGTCCTCCACTGATAGTCTTCTCTGCACGTCATGTCGTGACGGGTACTTCTTGTTGTTGAGTGAAGGTGTTTGTAAGCAATGTGAAGAGATCGCGAGTTGTCTGAAATGCGACGATTCGGGGTGTTTACAGTGTTCAGATGGGTATACCGTGTCGACCGATGCTTTAATGTGTAATAAGAAGAACACGGCCTTAGTCGTCTCCTTAGTCATTGTTTTTATCGTCATCTTCATCATCATTGTCGTCGTAATTATCTCCGCTATCATCTGGAAGAAGCGGAGAGAGCAAAAACAGCGGGAGACGGAGATCCGGCCATTCCGTGTGTCTTCCGATATAGAAATGGCGTTGTTGACTGCGGACAATGAGAACTTCCCATTGAAGACGGACAAGTGGGAGTTAACTTTTGGGTTGAAAGGGACGAAAGCGATAGTGAACAAGGAATACACTGAGAAGGTGCAAGTGATCAATTCGACGACGAAGCAGTTCTATTATGAAATCTTAGCGAATCCATCACACCGATACAACTTACAGATCACTCCAATGCATCAAGTCCTGAACCCTGGATATGCCATTGAAATTGAATTTAAGATCACTCTGCTGTGCACTGCTATGGTCAAAGATGATGTCGGGATTATAGCGATGGACGTAGATGAGAACAATAAAGAGACGGCGAAGATTAAAGTCCTCATTGAAAGTGATTTGTCGACGAAATTGGACCACACCGAGTTGAAGCCAATTATGCCGGCAATAGGCGAAGGTGCGTTTGGACTTGTGTTTAAAGGGACGTATAGGGGACTTGAAGTCGCTATCAAAAAGATGAAGGCTCGAAATATGACGGAAGAACAAGAGAAGGAATTCAATCATGAAGTGACTCTTCTGCAACAATTGAGACATCAGATGATAGTCAACTTGATCGGCGCAGTGTATACAGAAGGCGAAGTATCAATTGTGACTGAATTTGCGGAATATGGATCACTCAGTAAGATTTGGGGAAAGTATCTCATCAACTTGGAATTGAAAGTGAAGCTCTTGGATGACTTGGCAGTTGCTATTGAGTACCTTCATAGATCCCAATTTCTGCATCGTGATATTAAAGGCGAAAATGTCCTCGTTTACTCATTAAATCACAATAACACTGTATGTGGAAAATTGACAGACTTCGGGACGTGTAGATCAATATCAGAGAGTGCTCTGAATATAAAGGAATTGTCGTCTGGTATAGGAACACCTGTTTGTTTCTTTCTAGATGTTGTGTATAGTTTATATATAGTTAAATTTACTATTGAACAATAGAGTATATCTATTTATAGAATTACACTTATAGTATTATTATAATATATTATTATTGTTATTTAATATATATTGGAGTAATTTTATAATATATTAATAATATAATACTTACAGACAGACATACATGAGTCCGGAATCATTACAAGGCTTAACTACATACAGTTACCCCGTCGACATTTATGCGTTTGGAGTGGTGATGTACGAAACGTTTATAGAGAAGGCGGGATATACTGATACTAAAATCTTCAACCAGCCATGGGTCATTCCACAGTTTGTGATAGAAGGGAAACGACTAGAAAGACCGAAGGAGACGCCTGATTATTATTGGACCCTCCTTGAAAAGTGTTGGGCTCAAAACCCAGAAGAAAGACCAAGTGCGATAAAGGTCGTTGAGACAATAGCCACTTGGGACTTGAATTTCAATAAGTATTATATAACCAAAGAATGATGTGTTTAAATTGAGTCGAGTGATTCATTTCTTTGTTATTGCTTATATTGATATGTTTTAAAAATTTTTTAAAAAAACTTGAAATCCTTCAATTTTCTTTTTGAACAATTCGTTCACCTTTTTAACTCAATTTTGAAAAAAAAAGACAAACTCATTTCATGAAAGTTGAACGTTTTTGTTATTTTGGTATTTTGAATTCTTTTACTTGAAATCCCAATTACACAAGGAAAAGGAAAAAATAGCACAAGAGCTTGAAAAAGAGTTTTAAAAAGAAGAAGAACTAATAAAGTGTGAAAAGAATCGACGACTCAACTCAAAAATCAATGGATAAGACCGAAGCTTTGAAGGTCATACGGAACACTTTATTGCAGTATTCCGAGAAGGATAACCCTTGGGTTCGATTGTTTGAACAATGTAAAACAGATTTGGCTGCAGCAGAAACGGCGAAAACGTTGGAAAACACACAAGCAGCTAAAGGTGACTTAGAGAGCCAAATTAAGGCGCTTACTTTAGAGAATGCCCGACTGAAGGAAGACATTGATAACAAATTTAAGCAGATTAAAAAGTACAAGGACATCAATTATGACTTGGAACAGAAGGCTAAAGACTTAGAAGAGAAGAAATTGATGGCAGATACATTAACTCAACAAGCGCAATTAGATTTGGAGACTGAAAAGGAGACGAACAAGAATATCAAAGAGGACGTCTTATATAACAAACAGCGAAACGAATTGCTCCAACAAGAGAACAAAAGGATATCAGAGAGTTTGAATGAGCAGACGCAAAAGGCGGAGAAGGCCATCATCACACAGAAGGCAGCGGAGAAATCCAAATTAGATGCCGAGACGGCGCTCTTAGACCTTCAGAAAACGTTTGAAGCGGCGAACAACGAGCTGATCACTTTTAAAGCAAAATCAACACAAGTGGAGAGTCTTGTCTTAGAACAAGAGAATGAAATCGCTGAGTTACAGAACAAAGTAAAAGACAAGGAGAAAGTGATCAGTGGTCTTAATATGGACTTAGACGAGTATGGGAAGGACTTAGATATGGAAGTAGCGAATCACAAAGCGACACAAAAGAAGTTAGAAGACCAAAAACTGGACAACGAGGATCTCCGTGGACAAATTGAGAAATTGAAGGAGACGGTCGATAAGCTGAAAAACGCGGGGAATGACGTCCAACGCCTTGCGGACCAGAACAACATGTCGAAGAACGCTGCGGAGAGGAGATTAGTGGATATCCAGAAGAACTTGGAGAACACCAAAGAGGACTTAGATAAGACGGAAGTTGAACTTGCTGATACGAAGAAGAAGTTAAAAGACGCGATCAAAGAGAAGGAAGACTTAGAACAGAACTATTCGTCGGGGAATTCCATTTTGGAGAACATCAAAGAAAGTAAAGTGAAGATCGAACAGGAGGTCGTCGACTTGAACAATCAACTTGATGAACAAAGAAAGAAGACCGTTGAGGCTGAAGGCAACTTTAAACGATCAGAAGCGACGATTGTTGCACTCCAGACAGACCTTTCCGACGCGAGACATGACATCGATGGACTCAATATCCAAATTAAGAGTCTTCAGAATGAAATAGCGTCGAAGGAGGAAGACACCGAACACTGCTTGAATGACTTGAATGCGGAGAAGAGCCTGACGAAGCGCCTGAATGCCCAAATAGAAGACTTGAAAGACGACGCTGCGAAGGGAGCAGAGAGGGAACAGAAGCTGAAAGATGAGAATAAGACACTTAGTGATGAGTTGGAGATGAATAAAGAGAAATTGAATCAAATAGATATCACCGTCTCTAATGGGGAGAGAAGAACTAAAACCCTCGAGACGCAAATTTCGAATTTGAATGATACGATTGAACGACAGAAAAAGGAATACGCCGTCTTAACGAAGAAATATAACGACTTGACAGTCGACTTCAAAGACAAAGAAAATGAGGCGGAGACGTCGTTTGAGAAGATCCGAGCGCTGAACTCGACGATTGGGCAAAATGAGAGACAAATTGTCGACTTGAAGGACACAGTAAGTAAGTTAACGCCAGACCTCCAAGCGGCGAAAGATAATATTAAGGCGTTACAGAAACAAAATAAAGACCTTCTGGAGAAGAACGACGATTTACAACACGAGGTGAACACATTAAATGAGAAACAGAAGCAATTTATGGAGGGCCATATTTCGATGGACGAATTGAACGACTTTGAGAACCAAATTGCGCGGAAATTGAAGGAGAAACAGACCCAGTTTGATGATATGGTGGATAAATTGACGTCGGCGCTTGACGATAAAGAGAAGCAGAACGACAAGTTGGAGGGGAGGATCACCGAGTTGAATAAAGAGCGAGAAGTCCGGATCGACGAGATCGAGAAGGCGCAGCGAGAGCGCGCGGACTTTGAACAGAAAGCGAAATTGGCGAAGATTGAGAGCGACGCGAAGGCGGAGATGCTTGAGAGAGCGTTGAAAGACCGCGACGCGTTGAAGGCGCAAATCCGAGAGAATGAGGAACACATTGAGACATTGTCTGCTGGGAATGTGGATGCGTCTAAAGTGGTAGAAGCAGCTGTAGCGTCTTATAAGACACAAGTGAGTGATTTGAATATGGCGATTAACAGCTTGAAAGAGGAGAATGAGAGGATGAAGGAGAATATGGACTCCTTTAGACTAGATGCTTCAGACTTGAAGGTCCTTTTAGATGACAAGGACCGCGAATTGAAGAGTCTGCAACTCAAATATGTTGCTTTAACAGACGAGTTGAAGCACAGAGAAGACGTTATAGCAGATATGAGGCTGAAGAAGAAACAAGACACCGACGAGAAGGCGGAGATGGAAATGAAGATGAAATTGATGGGAAGCCAAATGAACGTCCCGCAACGGGAAATGGAACAGAAGATCTTCGACGCGGAGTTGAAGACGAAGAGCGTGTTGGGCGACTTAGAAATCGTCAATCAGCAACTTGCGGATATGACGGAAAAGAAGAAAACGCTTGAGAAGGAGGTAGAAAGTGCGTCTGAGAAGTATGAGCGGCTCGACAAGAACTATAAAGAGCTTGAACGGACGTATAAAGAGAATTTTGAGGAGAAGACGCAATACAAGAATAAGATGGCTGAGATGGAGATCGAGATAGAAGCGAAGAAGGAGACGATCGAAGAGATGCAAGAGAAGTATGATGACCTTAAGAACGAGAAGGAGTATAATGAAGCAACACAACAAAGTAATGAAAAGGTAGGGGATGAATTCACTGCGAAGATGATGGAGCTGAACAAGAAGATGTTAGAGACGAATAAGATGTACAAAGACACGAAGAGTGAATTGATTAAAGTGAAGAGTGACTTGGAAGACGTCGAAAAGGAACTTGAAGAGACTAAGACGGAGTTAGTGAGTAAGGACAATGAACTGAAAAAAGCTTTATCGTCGAACGATGAGTTACAGTATAAAGTCAAATTCACGAATGAAGCGTGTGGGTCGGACCAAAGTGCGTATCAAAAAATGGAAGAAGAACTGGACGACTTAAATAATGACTATGACGAGTTACAAGATCAATGCGATATCTTAACACAATCGAACGATACATTAAAGAAAAAGAATATGGAGTTGACGGAAATGTACGACAGCTTGATGGACGAGAATAAGAAGAACAAAAGAATTATAGAGAAGAACAAGTTTGCGCTCGAAGACAAAGCAGATAAAAGTGAAGACGAGGACGACTCATATCAACGCATGAAAGATCAATACGACGACTTGAAGAAGAAGACGGACGAAACAATTAAGCAACTGAATCAACAGAACGATGAGTTAAAAAGGAAGATCGAAGACATGGAGATTAAGATGACGGCATTGAACGCAACACAAAACAATGGAGGCGACGACGTCGGTAAGTTGAAACAACAGATCGCCGCTTTACAAGAAGCCTACGACAACGATAAACAAGACTTGACTGCTAAAGCAGCTCGTTTCAAAAAGAACGCATCAAAGTACAAAGAAGCGCTTGCACAGGCAGAAGAACAAAAACAAAAATTGTCCGACGACTTGGCTAAGGCAAAAGCAGGCGGAGGAAGTTCTGCGGAGACAAAAGACTTGAAGTCGAGAATCAGAGACTTACAGTCGGAGAAAGAAACACTCGAAGAGAAGGTGTCCGCGGCTAACGACGCGACGCTCCAAGCTAAAAGAGATGGACAAGACGCTCAAGATAAACTCGAACAGTTGCAGGCAAAGTATAAGAAGCTTAGAAAGCAATTTGAAGCTTTACGAGATGCTGACGATTAAGCATTTAACTCATTTTCTTAAGCATTTTAACTTTTAATAAGTTAATATAATAATATAAATATTAATATAATAAGTTAATAAGTTAATAAAATAATAAAATAATATAATAATATAATAATATAATAATATAATAATATAATAAGTTAATATAATAAATTAATAAGTTAATATTAATATACAAAAGTATACAAATAAAGACTACATTACTTATTATTAAACGACTTCGGGCTTCCACCCCGCCTCTTTGAGTCCCGGGATCTCTTCGATGCGAATCTTCTTGACGCCTTGTTTGAAACAGTTCAATCCGGGGTATGACTGTGTTTTAGAGACTTTACAAATGAGTTCTTGAATGGCCTTTCGTTGCTTCTGAATTGTTGCAGGCACGTCGGTGTAGTCTTCCACGTTGGGGTGTAACACACACTCCATTAAAGTCGCCTCGACATAGTCTTTAATGTACCCCTGCCACTTATCTTTCTGGAGAGTCACGTGCTTGTGGAAGCCTTGTTTCATGAAATAGCCGATCGCTTGGTTGTCGGCGTACGTCAAGATGTGATAGATCTTCCGACTCTGTATTTCCTTCTTGAGGTGTTGCATCATAAACGATCCAAAGCCACTGTATTGCACGGTAGAGTCGACCGCACAGAACACAATCTCGACAAACCCACGTAATGGAAATGGGCGAAAAGTGATGCCCCCAAAGGGTTTGTTGTCTTTGGCAGCTATTAATAAGAGTGACTCGTGATAGACGGGATCAAATACGATACGAGAAATGTAGTCGAGCGCCATGTTCGGCAAATGTCGGGATACTATGTTCTTCATGTATGTCAATAACTCTAACTGCTCACGTGTACCTTTGTTCGAAACTACGCGAAAGTAAATCTCACCTTTCTTCTCCTTCTCGCGAGGCACCGCGCCTCTCGCTTTGGGCTGCTCTGCCATTGTTCAAATAAAGTGCAAGTTTCTCTCTTTTTCAATGAAACTATATTTATTAATTACTTTATTATTAATTATAGTTCATTTGTCAGTATTAAAATGGATGATAAAAAGAATTATAATTGTTTAACACTTTAAATAACATTGAACAAAATTCAAGTGGTCTAAAAATCGGGAAATCTCGAGTTTATTAAATAAATTTCCATTATTTTAGAGATTGTATTATGTGCATAAACAATACACAAGCCAAAAAAGGAAAATCATTAAAAAATGGATTAATATCCCCATAAAAACAGGCCAAAACAAAAACAAGGGCGTTATTTTAAATGTTAATATGGGTAACATTATTGGAAACCATCAAATAATAGTAAAAAAATACTAAGAAAAATGCAGAGACAAATAAAACAGTGTTTTATGACTGATAAAACAGCGACAACAATTAATCAAATCAATTAATCTTTGTTAAATGCACTTGAACCAATATCAATCAGTTGGCAGCTTGGCCAAATCTGGGGTGTGGCACTAAAGCTTCATCAGTTCTCTCCCAGTTATTTTTGTGACTTAAATACCATTCAACTGTTTTCTTGAGTCCATCCTCAAATTTTGTCTCTGCTCTCCACCCAAGCTTCTCTAATTTGGAAACGTCAAGCGAATATCTCTGGTCATTGAAACATCTATTCTCTACGTGATAAATTCTACTTTCTTGTTCATCCTTTGGAACTCCAAAGATGTCGAGTAAATCGTGCGTCACTTCAGTGTTCGAAATTTCTCGAGTTGTTCCAATGTTGTAAATTTGTCCAACAATTCCCTTTCTCAAGATCAAGTCGAATGCGTTGACAACATCATCAACATAAATGAAGCTTCTCTTCTCGTCTCCATTTCCATGAATTGAGCAGTTCATTCCTCTGTCCAATAAAGTAATGAATTTGGGAATCAGCTTTTCTGGGAATTGATGGGGACCAAAAACGTTGTTTCCTCTTGTAATAATGAGAGGCAACCCAAATGACTGATAAAATGCTCTGGCAATGAACTCTGCACCGGCTTTGGTTGCTGAGTATGGGTTGGTTGGATTTAACAACGAGTTTTCGGTTGCTGCGTTTCCGATGACCTGTCCGTAGACTTCATCAGTCGAGACGTGAATGAACCTTCTGACGTTTGCATTCTTCGCAACTTCGAGCAATACGTGTGTTCCGAAGATGTTGTTGTGAGTGAATTGGAACGAATTTCCAAAAGAGTTATCCACATGGGTCTGGGCAGCGAAGTGCATGACAGTGTCGACCTTCTCCATCTCAAAAATCTTCTGCATAGTGTGGGCATCGGTGATATCGGCGATAAAGAACTTGAAGTTCGGAGCACCTTTAACTGCGTCGAGATTCTTGAGGGATGCACAGTAATCCAACTTGTCAACGACAACAATCTTGTACTGTGGGTATTGAGTCACAAAGTGGATGACGACGTGTGAAGCGATGAATCCAGCACCACCAGTGATTAGGATAACCTTGGGTTCATATTCCATTTTCAATATTTCTCTCATAAACAGTGTCGCTTAAATATACTCTCGTTTTGACATTCCCAATCACTTGTCAAAATAAAAACTTTTTCGTTTTGCGAGATTAGAAAGTCACTCTTTTTATTTTTAATCGAAAATTTATATTTCACAGTTGACAAAAAACATTAATTTATTATTATTTAATAATATAATTTTAACATTATATGTTATAATTAATAATTATTATTATAATATTATTAATAATATGTATATTATAAATTACGCTATTAATTTAAAAAGATTGATAGAATAACTAAGCTTTAGCGACAGAGTATAATATCAGAGGTTTCCAAAATCAGCTTAAAAGTAATAAGAGAATATTTTGGTATTAATTGTGTTGATTTCTCAATTAATTACAAAAAGATTATTAAACTGTCTTTTGGTATTTTTTCGTCTAAAATAAACTTAAAAAAGTTTTAATTATTTTTCGGCAAAAATTTTATTTTGTACAAATCTTTTGCAAAACATAAATTTGATTTAAAAAAAAAGAAACAAAAAATACTTAAATAAAATAACATAGCAATGAAAATACAAATAATTGTTTTTGGTTGTTTTTTGAATGATGGCAAAATTGTAAATTGGTAAATCAAAAAAAAACAATTAATTTATCAAACGTGTTCTTTATTTAACCGTAGGAAAGAGTAACTGGAAAAAATAATTAAAATTATAGGATTTGAATTTACATTCACTTTTTTTAATAATGAAAAAACAGATGTTTATTAAATATGATTAACATAAAATTTAACTATTTGATGTTAATTATATTTTATCAATATTATAATATAATAATTTTTGAAAAAAAAATAATTTTAACCAAACCAACTAACTAAACCAAATTGATAAGATCAATAAAGGATTCCGACTTCAATAAAGAACACGTCTTTGAACACTCAGAATAATTTAAAAAACACTTGTCTAAACAATAAAGCCGTTTGTTTGGACACTTTTGTTTGTGTAAAAAGAGCTAAATTCAAATACATTGTTTGCTAAAATAGAGGATTTGATGTTTGGTGCTGTTATGAACACTTCCGCGCAATATGTATCAATTGTAAAGAAAAATAAGTATGGTTTTGATTATTTGTTGATTTTATTTTTTTGTATAAAAAGAAATTATAAATAGTATTTTCCAGTTGGTCCCAAAGAGAGGGGATAGAAAATAAGTGGATTTGAATCAGCGTTCTAAGTTAATATCACATTTATTCACTAAATACATTTTATCAACAAATACATTCAATAGTTATTTTCAAAGAACATTAATTGCTTCATTTTCAAAGACAAGATCATCAACTACAATTTCTGTTTTTTAAGCGCTTTATCACATGTCAACAACATCATCCTTTCAACAGCAACAATTCCCATTTGTGGTCTAAAGTTCAACACGAGACGACTAAATGCTGAAAAACACAAAGTAGAATTTAACGAAAAACATAACAAGAGTGCTTCCAAAAGCAGGGGGTGTTTTTTGGAGACCAAGCTACTATAGTCGTAAAGGTCAAGAAAAAGTTCTTCAACATTCATCCTTTCAAATCCATTAGTTATTCTCGAATTAATTCAATATCATTTTCGTTTTTAATCAATTCGAGTTCGTTACAATAAATAGCCATACACTCCAACAGGTTGGTTATACCAGTTATAAAACCATCAAAAAATTTCCACAAATATACCATTGCCTCAACTGGATATTTTTCTTGTAAATCCACGCCTATATTTTCGCCATACTTTTTTACTAAATCACGTTCATTAAATATATTTTCACTGACTACAGAATTACACACAGAACAAAAACTTAATTTCAAATTCACAATAATACATTCCAAAAAACTGTGAAACAAAGCGATGTTATTCGTATTATTATCTGATGTTTCATTAAAAAAATCATTTTAAAGATTCAAATGACCCATAATAGTTACTGTTTATTTTATTGAAGTGATAACAGTGTGTCATTTAATTATGCAATTATAAGCCATTCCCTTGGAAAAAAAACGGGAATTAAATTGAAGATTTACTATCATTTTAAAGTATAAAAAGTAAGTCACGTACTATTCCAATTTGAAAAACGTATTGATTGTCTTCAAGAATAAAAACGACATAACGAACTTTAAAATCTTTCGTAATTTGTTTTTCCAGATCAAGATCTTGTAAATAATTTACAGTTTGTTCTTTTTTGTTAAATATGGAATCAAGAACGTCTTTTAATGAGGTCCATTTTGTTAAACAGTAACATTTTATGCCACCAAAACAGACATTTAAAAAAGCGGAATCATCATTTAATTTTCGAGACAAAGAAAGACTAAATGAAATAACGTTCGAAATTAATGGATGTGAACAAAGCATTTTTGCAATAAAATTAACTCTATGACAAACACACCAAACTTTATACACTTTAATTCCTATATTGCTCATGTACTCAACAAACAAAGTCGCAAATCCTTTATCTTTACCACACATATTAACCGCTCCGTTTGTAGTGATGCACTTTATTTTTTCAATTTCAATTTCAGATGCAACTAACTGAATAATCGCTTTATCAAGAATATTTTTACCGGTTGCACGTTTGTCGAGAATAAAAGAAGATACCAGAAACTTTGATATTGCAAATTGTTCATCCACAAATCTCAAAATTATTACATAGTATTTTTTCTTTGAAACCTTGCTTTCTTATATTTGGAAACAAATATATTTGGATTGTTTGAAGAGTTTTTTGAGATCCATTTTAAGATTATTTACACATGTAATCTGTCTTCTCGACAATGTGTTATTACTGAACCTCAAACATTTTTCAAATGATTCTCCATTTTTTTGTCTCAATTCGTTGTATTTTTACACATTTCAATAAGTACTTTTCCATTTATTAGTGGTATCTACAGTAAGCTTCTCGACTGATTAAAAGATCGGAATATGTTGAAAGTCTAAAGCTCATTTCTTCCCATCCTGAGATAACCTGTTGTGTTAATAAACTCGGTAAACATAAATGTTGACTCATGAATTAAACAGTGTTTGAATTTTTTAAAACATTTTTTTATTTTAATTACATTGTTTATTGTATTTGAAAAATAAAATTAGTACAACATAATATATATTTACTACATACAATTATTGATAAATATGTAAAATGTATGTCTCTGTATTATTTTGTTTTTCAAAAGTGTTATAAAAATGTGTAATATCTTTGAATTTTTTATATAAATTTAATAAAAACCACATTTGATTATTATTCACAAGTATTATAGCTTCGATAGATTTTTTTCGAAGAGACAATTGACATTTGTCTTGAAAAAAGCAAATCTCTGATTATTTTTACTATAAGTTTCTATATTATAGAATTTTTCATATAATAATCGAATAAATTTTAAAATTAAAAAACAATAAACTATTAAAAATTAAAAAATATAGTTTATAACAATAAACCATTAATATGGTTTGTATAATAGTATTTATCATTTCAAAATAAACACAAATTAGAAACATTATGATAATTCGTTAAAAATGAGTTAAAAACGGGCTGTTTTTGTATCACAACAGTTAACTTTAAATCAAACCCAAATTATTTTCTATTTTTTGAAAAAAACAGAAAAAAGAAGAAAAAGAAACTTAAAATACCCGACTTTTCGATATTTTATATATTTTGGAAGTAAAAAATACTATAATTTTGATAAAAGACAGGGTCCTCCAATTTATTAGATTTTTGACAAGGGTTACATATGAAAAATAATAGTAAAAGAATTTGGAAAAAACAGAGCTAAAAAACAAAGCAAAAATTACTTTATTTGACCAAGATCAGATTATTAATACAAATTTAAAAATTTAAAAATAAATCAACAAAAACAATGATTATAAGTTTATTGTTATTTTTAATTATTAACATGAGTACTTTTGTATTTAGATAACAGTTTTATTATAGATAATAAAATAAAGAACTCAAAAAAATACAATGAAAAGTTCCATTTAATCTTGTAACCAACGTCGAGTATATCAAAAAATGGGTAACAGTCTATTGTCTAAACAATTACAAACGGATGAATTTGGACAGTTGGACGATTTTTGTGATTTGGCAATGAACTTCGAAGATTACATTTCAACAAAAACCCTCTTAATTTAAATACTGTATATCTCCAGGATGAAATGAATAAACTCAGAGGAGCTCCGGATCTTGAGGCTTTCCGTCGAAAAACTCTGACAGAAAAAAATGGTGGTACTGACACAACGTTTAAATCCTTGAAACCTAAGTTCGTCTTTGGTTTTACTTGATTATGCACCATTTTTTGAAAGTGGATCTAAACTTTACTGTTTATTAGCAACGCTTTTTGCAATGTCACCCGCCACTGCTATATGTGAATCCAGTTTTTCTTTACTGAAAAGATACAACAAAAACAATTTTGCTCACAATTCGTTACGAGCGAGAATGTACGTCAAAGACAGAGCTCTCAATAAAATGGAACTATTATAATTTTAGTAATTTTTATGTTTTGTTTAACAATAACAATTAACTGATGTTTTTAATAATTATTTTGAAATTACTTAACACTATCTTGTTTATTGTAAAATAGCTTCACAAAACTTCTGTTTTAAAAGCCATCTTTTAAAAATGCCGATATTAATATGTTTTATTATTAATATAGATAATTTTCAATTCAAAGTTGCCACGTTTTATGAATTTGCCACGTTTACAGTTTTTATGACAAGGGTTTAGAAAAAGGAGGATTCTGAACTATACCATTTTTTGTTTGTTTTATTTTTTGTTTTCAATAATTAAAAAAAATATAAAAAATGAATAGAATAATCTTTTCAATTCAAATGATCCATTTGAACCAATTCATTTGATCTTGACTCATATGAACCACAATCGCCCAACAGTCGTATTTGGAAACAATCCATGATTTGAATTCACATTAAGTCATTGTGTTTACTTTTTACTCTTTGCGCTCCACACAGATTCTAATCGTTGCCGCGATACTTTGTTCAACAAAAGAAATGTCTGCACCATAATAATACATTGTATAACGTCTATCAAGAATGCGTAGTACTCCGGGTAACAGAGAGACACTTTGTCCTTCCCCAACTTGTTAACTAACAACTGTAACTTGAGTGCCATGACCGTGAAAAGCTCACAACGATAATTTCCACTACTTTGGGTATTCATAGAGTCAATAAATACTTTGCGGAAGTCGCCAACTTCTTTTATTGACATTAAAAGAATGTATCCAACGGTCTATATCATCTCACAAAAAAACATTCCTCTGCTCTTGTTTCATCGTGTTTTTGCCAACAAAGTTTCTATTTGGAAGTACTGCACATATCAATATCTTTTTTTTACAGCCTCTTCGGAGTTTTAAATTGCACTTCGCAGTGTCTGGTATATAATGCAAGACAACAGACAAAATAGAAACATAGTATCCGCTTTGTTTAATTTCAGAGACAAATGAGACTTAAATGATTGACATTAACACTGAATAGCGTTTCAAAGTGACTGAGAAATGGATTGGATGGTCTTTATCAAATATTTGGAAATGGTATTTGCCCGCTGGTGGGATGTGAAGTAACAACTACAACACAGACTCTATAGAGTCTTTCATTTTCAAGAAGATACGGGAGTGTCTTTTGAGGACATTCGCCTTATTAGAAAACTCCGCACCAAAGCTCTGTGATGTGAATGAGAGTGTTGTGATCAGATGAAACAGAGCAGAGAAGAGAAGCAAAGGGACTCTTAAAAGTGACAAAAATTTACACAAAGAGTCTGAAGTGATGTTCAGAATGTTTCCCTTTGAAATAATAATGGCGTCTAAGAGTGAAAGGACTCTTAAAATTGGTGGACACAAAACAAGTAAAATTTGGTTTCTGGCGACACAAAAGTGTTTTCCAGATCCAAGAGTCGTAATGACTTAAAGTCTTTTTTGTTATTTCAAGATGACTTTGGGGTGCTGTTAGAGTCATAAACTTATTTTGGTTATTTTCATAGTTTTTTTTACTGACATAGTCGTTAATTTGCATAATTTCTACACCCCAGTTATCAATGTCGTTTTTTCACTTTTTCCTATGGAGTCTATTCGTGCTTTGTATAACATTTTCCTTTACTCCCATCATCACTCTGTCGAAGAAAGCCAAGTACTTTATACAACTCATCAAAGACCCTCAAAAAGTACATTAAAATGAAGCCAAGTCGTTCAGTTTTTCATACGAAGCGTCGAAGCCCAAAATTTCTTTTAACAGCCAGGTCGATACTTCGATGACTTCGTTGCCAACTTAGTCATCGATGGAGAGTGACACCAATTTCTCTCTTCACTATATCGGATACCAATGTTTCTATGTTACTATTGACTATCATGATGTCACCGAAACTGTATCCATCCCGATGTGACCCTTCATACCCTGCTAACACTTCACTGTTACCCTCTAAGATAATGACTTTTCGTTTGCATCTCAACTCGGAAGTACCATCGATATATAGAGTCAAAAAGTCATTCATAACAACACCAATATGATGCCACGTGTCGTACTTGAGTTGTTTCGACATGACACAAAGCACTTCGTAATTCACTTCAAGCTTCCCAATCTCATCTTAAGTTCTGTGACCGTCTCTTTGTCAACTGAATTACCAAACAAACTGTATATGATGGTAAGGATCTCGTAATCGCCAAGATTCACTTTGAAACATCTAGTTATGTTTACCTCATCGCCATCAATCCAAAATGACTTCTTAATATATGAAAGACCCTCTATAGTGTCAATGGTGACACCACAGACGTTCTCTCCTATCGATATGATTTGGAGGCTTTCATAGATCTTCTCGTCTTGGTCACTGTTGTTTCCTTGCTTTTTCATTATCCGTTTCAATGTCGACGGTTTATACTGTATTGTATTATCATTTCGACAAACTTAGGAATTAAAAACATTAACGAAATGTTTATGATATTTAAAATACCAACAATACCATCATCAGAGCTTATACAATGTTTGTGTATATTACCAATGTGTCGTAAAATTGTCAAATTTACTGACACATCGGTTTATTGACATTAATTGATTTCAAATGTCAGTAATTTATCACAAAAAATGACAAGGGTTAAAGGAAAATTTGCATTTATAATATTTGTTAGAGACTATATTTACCCAAGATCGACTTGATGAAATACGTTATTTTGGAGATTTTTCGTTCTTTTCAATTCTATAAATTTAAATTATATGTACAGAACATGAAATAAGGGGCTTAATTTAAAAACACTTATTAGTTAAAGGGTTATTTAATGGTTTTGCTACAAAAAGTGGAGCATTTCAAAACGATCGGCCAAAAATAGTCACAATTTTTAATCTCAATTTTTAATCACAATTTAATATTGATTAAATGTCGTTTAGGGTTTTGAATTAGACAAATTACACACAAAAAGACGACTTTAAAAACTACCAAAATACAGAATAGTCACTAATCCTTATGTGGATCTTTGCTTTATGCAAATATTTTATGGTTAATTTTTAATATATATAAACAATTATTTAGTTTAATATTTTTAACCAAAAAATAAGATTTAGTTGTAATTAATTAAGATAGTTTTTATTAACCAATATTTAAATTAAAGTCTTCTTTAGGGCAAAGTATAACATAAAGTAGAGCGACCATACTATATTATTAAATTAATAAAAATATAACTTAGTAAATAGTTTTGTTTTAGAAAAATAGTCAACGTAGAACTAATAATTTCAAATGGATAAGGTGAACCAATAAGTAATAACTTTATACTTTAAAACGTCCCACATCTTTGCTTGGACATTATGTTCAAAAATAACAACAATGAAACGATGAGTTCGTATTTTTAGATATATTTTGTCTTAAAGGTTAAACAAGTTTTTAATAACAAATTAAATTTTTAATTACAACAATGAGTAGTGGTGCAGAATTTATTGTCACAACGAATATGCTGAAAATTATATGAGTAATAATTTATGATAGTTTAATATAATAAATACTTTTTTTATTATATACAGTAAAAAGCATCTATTTGTGGGTTACGTCTATTTGTGGGTCAATGGACCAATCAAATGCAAAACCCACAAATAATTATTTTGCTCTCGAACCTTGAATTTAGGTACATTTAAATAAAAATTATAGTTTTATTATAATTAAAAAAACCACAATATTTTCTATAACACTGATTTTTTATGTATAAAATAGTGAAAAGAATTTACTTCACAATTCCATGATAAACCCACAAATAAATATTTTTTCTCTGTTTGAAAACCCACAAATAGATGCTTTTTACTGTAATGTTTTTTTGAATTCAATAAAATTATTTATTTTTTTAAATAAATTTAATTGTTTATATTACTATATATTTATTATAAATATAAATTAACAATATTATTTAAACTATTAAATTACTATATTTTTTATTATAATTTATTTTTTTTTTACTATATTTTTTCTATATTTTGGAAACCCTTAAATTAATAAGCGTTTTCAAATTAAGACCCTCATTTAAGCCACTGTATATTACTGAAAGAAATTCAATTTGTTAAAGAATTATTTTGAAACGCTGAAACCCTCGTTCTAAACATATTATGTCAATGTGTCATTTATAATTAGTTTTTTGAAAATTAACAGGCGATTAAAAAACACTAATGATTGTTTGAATAACAAAGTGTTTAAAATATTATAAATATATGTAAATACATTAATATTAAATGGTATATTTGTTGTTTGTGTTGTAAATATCGATTTGTAATACAATCAAATTATGTTCAAAAATACTGGTTTGTCAAAACCTTTAAATTTTAACAAAATTACAAGAAAAATTAATTATTTAATACTATTTTAACCTTACTATACTGTTACTGTTTTAAATAAAACATAAATTTTATTTTTTTGAACTTGATATGATATACAAAAAAACTTAACTTGTGGCGATACTTTTGAAATTTGAACAGCAAACAAACCAATCGCGCTTTTAATAATTTATAGGTTTTCTTTTTTCTTCAATTTTTGGACATGTTTTAATTAAAACACTAACGGTATTGGCGTTTTCATTAACAAAACATTTTTTTTCAAAAAAATGTTTTATAAAAGAAAAAAAGAATCGTAAGGTTAATCAAATAATAGTCATATTTTGTAGAATGCCTTGTAAATATTTCATCTATAAAACAGTTCATCATTTAAAATTACCCCATATGTAGTTTATAAATTAATGACATTTTTAATATCCTGTAAAGTTTAATTTATTGTATACCTTTGGGAGTTAATTTTTACAGACCGAAATAGAACAAAATTTGAAAAAAATATAATTAGCGCAGTTTTGATTAGGATATGTTTCCCGATTTTTGTTTTAAATTTTATGTAATTTTTGTTTGTTAAAAATCAAATAGAACGCTCTCGAGCTGCCACGTCAAAACATTTCAAGGACAAATTGTGAGTAAAAAAACCGACCAATTAGATTCATTCCGGCACTATATAGTAACTATTATTGAAATTAAAAAATTATGATAATCATTAAAATATAATAAATGAAAAATTAATTATACTCAACATTTTTACATATTGTTGAATAAGAAAATTATATAACATGAATTGCATTTTTTAAGTGTGTTAATCATTTCTTCTCTAAATGATTATGGGGAAGTTGACGCTAAACAAGTTTCCAAAAATTCAAGTGTTTTTGGACATATATTCATTAATTTTCTTGCATAACATGAGGCAAACACTCCACATGATACTCCATCTCGTTGTTCGAATACTACCGAATTTGAATATTTAACACCCACAAATTTTAACTCATCATTGTAATTGGGTTATGCCAAATTTGTATGTTCATTATATTTATTTCGTGTCTTTAATCTTCAAGAATCCAATTTGTAAGCATTTCATACGGATTATTCAAAATAACCATATCGTTATTAATAACTATTTCATTATCATCTTTTAGTTCTAAATCTCCAAACTCATTAAATGATTGTTTGTGTCTATAATTTTGTTTTTGATTGCATGTTTCGTTTATAATAGCGGTTTGAGTATTATTATTAAATAATACATTTTTTAGAAGTTCAATTTGGGTCTTCTTTTTTATTTTGTCATTAAATGAAGATAAATGTTTCACATAACGTTTATTAACCCTTCGAGGACTGAAAAGTTTTTATTTTTTTCTTTTTTTTCAGAAAAAATTTCAAAAAATAATTTCACTTTTCAAAAAAAATGAAAATAATGGCGACTTTTCATGAACAATTTAGAATGATTTTTGACTTATTTGTTAAAATAGTTCAACTCAAATTCAAACTTTTGAATTATTTATAAAACATTTCATCATTCATAAACTCAAATTAATTGGTTTTTGTTAAAGATTCGTCCTTCAATCAATAAAATATCTAATTTAACAAATTAATATTACAAATTAATATTAGTAATAAAAATAATACGAAAATAAACTGTTTTTATAAACAAATAAAATGTTAATAAAAATTGGTTAAATAATATTATCAGATATTCAAGTTTTTTTTTAAAAACAAAATAAAAAACACTTAAAAAGTGTGCAAGATTGTGGGTTTGATATAACCAATAAGATTGGTTCAAACCAAAATAAAATAAGAACAGAACAAAAATATTGTTGTTGAAATAAAAAAATGGATTCCACTCAAACTAAAAATACTTAGAGAACCAAATAACATCAAAATATTACGATAAAAATCCACTATTTACTATTAATTTTGTTTGTTATTCAACTAACACAACAATAACATTAAAATAATTATCTTATATGGTAAAACAACGCTATAATACACTAATTTAAGTCGAGAAAAATAGCAGTTTTGGATACATTATACAATGCGTGACAAAAGATAATATATTGTATATAATTTTATTTATAAATAAACTATAAAAAATCAACCTTTGAATAATATAACTGATAGTAAATTTATTATATATTATGATTGATTATTACAATAATTATAATAATATTAAAGTAAACCAAATAAACACCTAAACAAATATAATAAAATTGAGCCAAGCATAAACAGCCTTCTCATGCTTAATCCTTGTTCATCTGCAACTTTCTCCTTCTCAAGTCTGTCGTTAATGCCTGAGTACATTGATGTTCCATTTGAAAAGACGATGTTTCCGTACAAGTCCTTTCTGATACCGACATTGCACTTCATGATTGAGTTGTAACTTGTCTCGTGGATTCCTAATGTTTCCATAACGAGGAATGATGGCTGAAAGAGTGCTTCTAAGCGTGTAAATTTTTAGTTTCCAATGGTGATGACTTCACTGTTTGAAAATTTGTTTTATTTTTCAAGTTCTGATGATGAGGCAGATTTTTGCATTTTTTCGTCAAATCAAATGCAAGGCGGCAAAGTTATTTATAGTAATAACTAATTGTTTATTTTTGAATTTTTATTCCAAATATAACAAGAAATTTGTGTGTTATTTTACACAATTATTTAATGTTGATTTACGATATTTATTCGAATTTCAAATGTTTTTTCGGGATATAAGGATTAAAAAATGATAATTTTTGATTACAATTTGGTTTTGCACATTGTTGTTTAAAATAGTGCAACTTTAAACTATAAATCTATTTATAACAAATCTTGAAATATTAACTCAATTATTGTGTTTATTCAAATTTATATCAAGTATTTTCTTTGTTTTATCACAAACTTTTTTGTTATGCAAGTGATGTTGTTTTATGTAAGATTAAATTAGTACTTTTAATTAATTTAAACCATTTAATTGTTTAGCAATCTACAAATAAAAATGCAAAAATGTTTTTTGCGTTTAATTTGTTAAAATAGTATTAATTAATTGAAAATAACTATAAATGTCTTGCATTATTAAAAAT